AGTAAAAATGATTTACCCTAACGGTCACTACTTATAACATAGTGTCGTAGGACCAAAATGATTGCACAGAACCAACTCGCTACCCTTAAGCAAAGTATTTTATAAAAACCTCAGACTAAAACAAAGGAAAGCACAAGGGAGATAATTATTTTGAAAGGAAAAATACATGCTCACTGTGTAAGAAATATGTATTAGACATAAAGATACGCGAACGGAATAATTTATTTAATGTTGCGGAAGAAAGGAATGATAGACAACAAATATTCCATAAAGGCAAGAAATGTATTTTAATGGAAAGTTCCATTGTATATTTCAAAAGCAAAAACATAAATTTGGTAAGTCGAAAGTCAACATCGCAGTTATAAAGTCTACACCAGAAAACGAGCAACAATTTTTGTAATTACCTCAAGCCTTAAAGTATACTATAAATCCGTTTAAAAACTTACCAAATATATAGACGTATTGTTGTTGCAAAGTCTATAAGACGTAGTAGTTGTTTTACAATTGTTCAACAACTGATGACAAGTGATTTATGAATTTTGGGCTTTTCAAATCTTTTCCCAATGAAATTCTTGCCTTAAATTTTTAATTTTAACTTTCACAGTACACCCAGTCCAAAAGAGTGAGTTTTGGTCTCATACACAAGACAAAGAAATTTTTGATTTGTTTTAAATTTTGCACATTTTTTCTTAATTTAAGACGCGCCATATGTCAACTAATGTTTGTAAATCAATGTTCACCGTTCGCGTAACAATGGTCAATAAAATAAGTAAACAATAGCGGCATTAATATCTCATAAAAACCAGGCAACGCGCAGTTAAACAAACAAATAGCGTAAAGTTAAATTTCATACTCTCGCTGAGGTCAATTAGAAAAATGCCGGTTGCACAGAAAATTTTTTACAAGGGTGTTGACAATTTAGTTTAGTGCATGCGTCACCTTTAATTCTTTTGTTTTTCTTTTTTTGTTTCTTCTTTTATCTCGTCGTTTGTACAGCTTGTAAATGTTTTTTTGTTTTTAACTGTGTACTTATTAATTGGGAAATTTTTACAACGATTTGGAAATGAAATTTTAACAAAGCCATATCATTTCTCGTACTGATATCTTTTTCTTATTTTCTGTGTGTGTTATCAGTGGACCTGACGCTTTTTAATACGCTTTGTACTCTTCTTAAATCGGTTGTCAACGTTCGGTTTGATAACTAAACGACTACTGAATAATTTTTCACTTTTGATGTACATTTATTAAATAGTCTTCCTTTAACAGGGAAAGAGCTTTTAGATTTTCTGCTGTGCAAAGTAACTAGCTTTTAAAAAGCTTTAAAGGTTAATCTACCTGTGAATAAGCAACAGTATAAAATGCTGCATCATCTAGAAAGTTCGTGGCGCTTTTCATCCAAAATTCAAAGCCTATTTTAACTAGGTCTTGTTAGTACAATAGATTTTCTAGGTCGCGGTACGATTTTTCCACGCAATTAATAAATAACTACATCTTAACTGAATATTTTTAAGCGAAGTATATGCCGTTTTAGGTATTTTCCCCAATATTGATAAACTGTCGGGGGCAAAACTATGGGACAAATGGGACCATCTCCAACTACGTTGAATGCATCAAAAGTTTCCAGCCAAACTAAACTGTCTCAATTTGTACACATAATCACTAAGGATCTGTGTCACAATCCCGTTGTAATCGTGTTTAGCGCTGAAAGCAGTGACTGCTTTTGTATCACGCATCACGCAAAACCTATTTGACATTTAAGTGCGTGGCGCACGCTGCAAATATATTCATTTTGCTCAGTCCTTCTGTTATTGACAGTAGAGAATGAATTCAATCGCCTAGCCGCGTTGGACCAGTTCAAATTCTACAATTCCCTTTCTACCGTATGGAACGACAGATGTTACATTATGTGGACTGGGGTGGACTTTACCACCGTTTGTATAGGATTAGCATCTTTTTGGTATATTATTGTCGTATATGATGCACTTTTCATCATTCACTACCATACTCCCCAAGAACCACTTGGCTTTATCTCTTTTTAGATGGTGTTCGCGATTGGGGATTTGATGTATTCTGATAACTTCCTTACTTTTGAAGCGCTTTTGTGCGGTACCCGAATATCAAATTTTCTTTTCTTGTAACATTTGCTATTTTCGCGACCTTGTCGTGCTGTGCTAACTTGAAGTTGGTGATGGGTGGGTTTAGCTTTTGATTTTATTAGGAGAAAAAAGAGTTTTGGATTAGTGTGCGAGGAAAGACGGTGTTTGACCGAATGCTTACTATAAATTATATGCAAAAAATAGACGATGACAATAAGACTATATAAACGCGGTCAATGGGATGTGCGACCGTTTATACAACAACAAATTACCACCTCCAAGAGTGAACGTAAACATAGCAGCAGCCGTTCTTGTACTACTCTTCATATATTTTTGTAATTTTGTTTGATTATTTAATACGGTTCTATCCACAATTTTATTATATCATGTGATATAGTATATATTGTTTTCTTCCGTCTTTAACAAAAGAAGAGAATTAAAAATTTTTGTAAGGCTGTGAAAATGTAAATCACTCTTTTTTTATTCGAAGAACAAAAGAGGAGATTTCTTTGATTAAAGATCGTATGCAGGTCTTTTCATATCAGAGTCTTTGATCAGAGCATCACACTAAGGTATTTTCATACCAAACTTTGTTTGATCTGAGAGCTCTGAGAGAGATTAGACCATTATACTCGTAGGCATCGTTGAAAGCTAGCTTTCGCTTTTGTGTTCTCAAACCAAAGTCTTTGATTAGATTTATTGTCTTGAGTTACTTAATATCACGAGTCTACTGCGGTTTAGAAATAAACGCCTCATCTTGATGTTACGTTAAAAAACACTTGACTGCTCCGTACTCGATTCTCATGAGCAAGAATTCTGTTAAAACCTTCTTGAAACGAATTAATTGTTTACGAAGCGCAAGCGTACGTACACACTTGGGCTTACTTGAGAAACAAATTTAAAATTGATGACGTAGCACAGATAACTTTCGTTTCATAATTTATATAAATTTGCATTAAAGATTTCTGAGCTTCACATTTGTTAGATGTATCGATTAACTTCAGCCAATCTTTCTTATGAGTGTTTGTAATCCATTGTTTTCATTACGTATGTAATCATTAGAATTTATAACTAAACTATTAAGTTCACTTTATTACTTTTTTCTTTCACACTCACATTGTTTTATATAGCAGGTTCTTTATATAAAATATATTGTTGTAGTTGAATTTAATCTAAATTTATAAAGATTAATTTTAAAAAATAATAAAGTATAATTATTTGAACGAAATCGTTACCATTATGTCTGTCAACGCACTTTTCCTAGTTAAAAGCAAGTAAGAATCCTATAGTCGCGCAAAGGCGCCATTAGACATCCTAAACCTCTTCGCTTAATTGATAAGACATCAAAAATTATACTTTATTTTTATTTACATAAAAATATACGTTTTTGAAAAGCCTCATATTGAAGAATGTTCAAACGTCAAAGTAGCAAGTAGTTTAGCAAACTGAACCTACTAGTCAAAGAATGTATTGTATTCCATATTTGCTTTCGCCGTAAGAAACCACAAATTAGACTTTCTCGCCATAGAAGAGTTTGTTTTCACGAAAGCCGGTATATATAGGGCGGTCTAGCAGATAGACCCTTATGATCCGAATACCCCGTAGTTAATTTACTAAGCATCATGTTTTATCTTAAAATATTAAAAGTTAAGCCTTTTTAGCATATACGGACCTAGTCTTCATTAAAACCCTTATAGGGGGTGGGTTTCAAAAAGTAGACTAAGGTGGTCCACATTCGATAAGTGTTAATTATGATATGATATGAAATGAAATTATTATTTGCAATGAATTTTTCTTAAGAAATATTGAGAATTAAGCCCTTTTACCATATAAAGATTCAGTTTCCGTGGGAACGATCTTGTCCAAAGTTTTCGCACCTATTTAGAATGCCAAAGTACTATTGCTAAGAGATCTTTGGCCCGAAATTCTAAAAATTGCACTATTTTTCATATAACGATTCATCAAAATAAAGGGGGTTTTATGGGGAGTGGTCGAAAAAGTGGTCTGATCCGAATCATATTTAACAGCGTTTGTCCGTGAGCCAACACGCGTCCGTGTACCAAATTTCACCAATATAGTACGAAAATTGCGACCGGTAGGTTGACGACAAGAATACGTGCGCTGACATCAGACAGACATACAAAGCGGCAGTTAAGTTTAAAATCATTTTCTGAATCGATCGGTACCTGAATAAATGTAATATATCCTGCACCAAAATTTCTCAAATCAATCAAACCATTATTTCTTCTTCTTTTCCTCTCTAATTGCTTGTTTCACATATGCAGCTCATTCTTATTTGTTTGTTTACATAAAAACCAAAACCGGCAAAGTCCAGTAAGAAACTCTTCGAGACTGATATGACTTAAAATTATTTTGTGATCATATTGATTGATTGTTTTCATGTGTTCAAATTAAATGTCAAAGTCTGATAAGAAAAGCAAGCTTTTATGTGAGTAAAGCCAACAACAATGCCTATAGAGTATTGGCGCTGAAATTTATTGAAACATTTAACAAGTATAAACCTCTGAAATCTTTAATATGAAAAAAAAGAAGAATGCTTTGCATCATCTTTGATTTTCTTCCCACATATACAGATGTATGTTTATCAACATATATGCACTTAAAATATATGTTCGCCGAGCTTCGTAACATTTGATAATGAGAGCGAAAGAGAGCATTCATTGTAACAGCGCTACAACTGTTACATTAACAGAGATGTCATCAGGCAGGCAACATTCGCGTTTTATTTAAGAACAGTTCGAACTCTTTTGTAGTGCTGTTTTGCTTCTCTCACGCACGGAAAACGCAAATATATAAAACACCGCTTTAAAAAAATTTTCAAATATAAGGAACAAGCAAACAGTTGTTTACTTATCGATAAAAACGATAACGACTTTATCCCCGTCTGCCATCCTTAAGGTGTACTTGTGTGCATGTAAATATATATATATATATATATATATATATGTATACTCTTTAGGTGCAGAAAAAAACATAAAAAGTTGATAAAAATTAAATAACAAGAGTAACAAATATTATTAAATAAATAAACGTTTTGACAGAGAAGTAAACAATTTTTATTAAATGTTAAAAAATAACGACATGATAAAATAAATAAGCTAAATGAAAAATGGAGTCAGTCTAGAAAAAAGCAAACGGTGAAAAAGTGAAAAATTTTCAAAGATATAAAAAACATATATCAAACTGTGTTTTTAATATTAAAATTACATATTTACATATTTTTGCCTTAAATTACTTTGCAAAAATAATTTATAAACCGTTAGATGTATAGACAATTTATCTAGTCGAGCTGCTGGGAATTAAAAACTGTACATATAGATGCACGGGCATTGCACGCATAGACTGAATTGAAAGAGGGCAACTGCCAGTGTTAAGTTGTATGTTCTAAAGCTGCTGTATGTATGATATCGTTGAGTGCTTTGCTAACAACGCTGGGAGTTATGAATAACAATCAAGCAAATAACGTTTCTAATCAAGCTGCCGCTGCTGCTGTCAACCAAAATAACAATAACAATGCTGGGCCAAACGTAAACCAGGCAGCAATACCTGCAGCCGTTGGTATAAACAATCAAAATTCGGCCGCCGAAGGCAGTATGGAAAGAGGCAGGTAAGTATATCGTGTTTCCTAGTTACGGTTGGAAATTTTTTCTCATTTATTTTATCTATTTGTAGTTGTTTGCTACGTTATGCCAGCCAAAATTCTTTAGATGAAAGTTCCCAAAAGCATATACAACGTCCTAACAGTAAAGATCGTACTGTCGGTCAATATCACAATGAATTGCATTCCACGCATTCTTTTGAGGCCATGAACGAAATGCGCAAGTATGTCACTACATATGTAAAACTGTTTTTGTGTTTATTTTTACTTTCAATTACAACTTATTTTTTTCTGGTCTGATTTGCAACTTACTAAACCGGCCAAGTAGGTTTCTAGAGCATTAGACCCAAATGAACTAAATGCATAAATTTTTAAATTTAAAACATATACGATTTCAATTAAATACAACATCAAGGATTATTCCACAATTTAAAATAATTATTACTTTATATCTGATATAATATAAAACAACAACCCCTTCATACGCGTAATACGCTTAACGTTAACATTTAACCTTGAACTTCTAGTTTAGTGTTGATTTCATATTTTTATTATAATTCCAGGGGATGTATTAAGTTCGTCAATTGTTTGTCTGCCTTATGGGGCGATCCGTTGTTTAAAAATGTACATCTTTAGCTTCGTTATAACAACAAACACATGAGTATTTGTATGTCTAAAAATGTCAAATATGCCAAATTAAACAAATTTCAATGATGAGATTACGTTTTTAGCTTCTTTCCTTTTTAAGAATTATCGAAAACGTGCTCAAATACACCCGCCCCTTCATATCTATAAAATCATTCTTATATTCAGTCTTAATATCAGTCTTAATGGACGACATTTTGACGAAACTGGTCTATATTTAAAAAAGCCTCAAAATTCCCGCAACAAATTGGCTATAATTGCGCTAACAATATGTCTCTTTAGGTCAGCTATAAAGCAAAGGCAGCTGACAAAGTAGTAAACCAGCTTATTTTTTGAAGCAATCAAGTTGAGTAAAGATTCAAATTTGTGAGTCCTCCCTTTGACGATTTAATAATCAAAGACCTCAATTATCATCGCCTATCTTAATATTTTTAAATAAACGAAGCGATGACGGTATTCTCTCCTTCCTCCATCTAAAATTTATACAAATTATTTCGATTCAAATATCATGCAGTTCGCAGCAATTCAAAACGTTTCTCTCTGTACATAAAAATTTATGTTTTTCAAGTGGAGTGCTCTGAAAATTCCGTACAAACTGACAATAATGTTTATTCTTATATTTGTGTATATACTTATATAAATAGCGCTGAGATGTTTTTGTGACAAGACTGTGACGCAAAAAGTATTATCAATAATTTAATAACTTGTTTAAATAAACAAGTATAACGTGTAATAAGTTTTGCAGCTTTGGCCTGTACATATATAGAAAAAAAGGGACACAAAGTTTAATTATATTAATTACTCTAAGACACAGCTTTGTTGTCTAGTTAGCTTAAGAAGTTAATCTTTATCGTCTCAATTCATTCAGGCATTTATAAGAATTACTTAATTAATTACAGACAAAATCTGTTGTGTGATGTTACCCTGGTAGCTGAAGATATGGAAATACCAGCCCATAAAATGGTCCTAGCATCGTGCAGTCCTTACTTCTATGCCATGTTTACAGGATTTGAAGAGTCACGGCAGGGTCGAATTACCCTACAGGGCGTCGATCATCATGCTCTTGAACTTCTTATCGAATACGTGTACACATCAACGGTAGAAGTCAATGAGGATAACGTGCAAGTCCTGTTAACAGCAGCCAATCTTTTGCAATTAACCGATGTTCGAGACGCCTGCTGTGACTACTTGCAAACTCAATTGGATGCCAGCAATTGTTTGGGTATACGAGATTTTGCGGATATGCACGGTTGCGTCGAGTTGGTTAATTATGCCGAAACCTATATAGAACAGCATTTCAAGTAAAATTCGTAATGAACCTTTAAGAAAATACTTCACTATATTACTATCTTTATCCCTTAGCGAAGTAATACAATTTGATGAATTCTTAAATTTGACACATGAGCAAGTAATTAGTTTAATAAGTAATGACCGTATATCGGTCTCCAGCGAAGAAAAGGTTTATGAATGCGTTATAAACTGGATACGTTATGATCCCACGCCACGCGAACAATATACTGCAAATTTAATGGAACATGTGCGCTTGCCGTTTCTATCAAAAGAATATATAACCCAGAAGGTTGACAAGGAGCCTTTGTTAGAAGGCAACATTATATGTAAAAATTTAATTATTGAAGCACTTACTTATCATTTACTACCTTCGGAAATTAAAACGGTGCGTACAATACCACGTAAACCTGTCGGACTGCCAAAGATACTATTAGTAATAGGAGGTCAGGCGCCAAAAGCAATACGCTCGGTTGAGTGTTATGATTTGCGTGAAGAAAAGTGGTATCAGGCTGCCGAGATGCCCAATCGAAGATGCAGGTGGGTTAAATAACATCAAAATATTGTCCAATAAAATAATAATTACCTATCCGCAGAGCCGGCTTAGCGGTATTAGGCGACAAGGTGTATGCTGTAGGTGGTTTTAATGGCTCATTACGGGTGCGTACTGTAGACGTTTATGATCCTGCAACAGATCAATGGTCTACCAGTAACAGCATGGAGGCAAGACGATCGACTTTAGGTGTTGCAGTACTTAATGGTTGCATTTATGCTGTGGGCGGTTTTGATGGTACTACAGGCCTTAGCTCGGCTGAAATGTTTGATCCAAAAAATGAAGTTTGGCGTTTCATAGCGTCCATGTCTACTCGACGTAGTTCAGTGGGCGTAGGGGTAGTTAATGGTTTACTCTACGCTGTCGGCGGTTACGACGGTTATACACGTCAATGTCTCTCCTCAGTTGAACGCTACAATCCCGAAGCTGACACTTGGTATGCTGTAGCAGATATGTCGGCACGTCGCAGCGGCGCTGGCGTAGGTGTACTCAATAACATACTCTACGCTGTAGGTGGTCATGATGGTCCAATGGTGCGCAAATCTGTAGAAGCATACGACCCTGAAAGCAATCAATGGCATTCAGTAGCTGACATGTCATTTTGCCGCAGAAATGCTGGCGTTGTAGCTCATGATGGCCTACTCTACGTAGTGGGAGGAGATGATGGTGACTCAAATTTATCATCAGTCGAGGTTTATAGTCCCGAAACTGACTCTTGGCGTATACTGGCCGCGGCCATGATAATTGGACGCAGTTATGCCGGTGTGTGTATGATAGATAAACCCATGTGAATAGAAGAGCAGGGTGCATTAGCACGGTATGTAAGCAAAATTTCATTCACATATATTATTTCTAACTATTTTTAAATTGACAGACAAGCGGCCGCCAATATAATGGGTATTGTGGATGATGAAAATAGTCAAGCTGAAGGTACAATAGAGGGAGCTGTTGGTTTGGTTCGCAACAGTGACCAACATCAACAGCCGCAGGCAAATATTACTAACAGCAATAGCAACAGTAGCAACTGTAATCAACAGCAGCAAATAAATCATCCACACTATGAAAATATCTACGAAACCATTGAACAATACAATGCGGCTGCTCGGGGTGGTGCAGTAAGTGGTGTTGTCGCAATTCCTGCAGCAGTCAATGCGGCCGCTTCAGTAAATGCATCGAATAGTACTAATGCCCCTGCCGAAGAGCAATCCATTCCACAACAACAACAGCAACCACAAGGAAATGACAATAACGCACAAACACAACAGCAGCAGCAACCACGTTTGTATAATAGCATCAATTACCGTAATGATTTGTATGATCGGGCAAACGCTACCAATATCGGTTCCACATCCTCAAATACCACCACTGCAAACGGCGGTGGCAATAATTACGATATACCCAGATCAGTACGCTCAGCTCTGGGTTTCAGACGCAATTTTCAATTGGATTTACACGCAGGTAATTAAAAGAAAAAAAAAAAAATTATTAAAATTTTTAAACTGAAATCCTATTTTCTTGCAGCAAATCCTCGATTTAATGCTTTACGTTGTAATGGTATATCCTGCGGCCATACTGCCTTACATAATGCCTACGGTAGCAATAGTTCTTGTCAACGTCAGCACAGTTTTGACGATTCCGAATCTCAAAATTATTTCAATTTAAACAACTATCCTGCACCGACTATGAGATACGAGAATATTTATGAGCAAATACGCGACGAACCAGTCTATCGCAACACCACCGGCACCTCGTCGACGTCCAAGAGCGCCAGATTGTACGGACATCTTAATGTTATTGGTCATGGAATAGGACGTATCGAGCGTCATTTGAGCTCCTCATGTGGCAATATTGATCATTACAATTTAGGTGGCCACTACGCGGTATTAGGTCAGTTTTTCTTCTTCTAATTTTCAACCATTTTAATTTCCTTTTTTAATTTTTGTTAGGACATTCGCATTTCGGCACTGTTGGCCATATACGTTTAAATGCCGGTTCGAATAACGGTGTCAACGGAGGTAGCAGCAGTGGTTCAGTGAACACAGGTTCCTCTACATTATCTAACGGCGGTTCCGCCTTGACTGCTTCCAACTCGAAAGACACCGGTAACGTAAGAAATAGTGCGTCGTCCTTCTTTAGTTGTTTGCACGGTGAAAGTACACAAAGCATGAACAATATTTATAAAGCCTCCAGCAATGTAGCCCAAACCACCAACACCAACGTAAATGGAAGCAACGGCCAATCTATACAATCAACTATTACCCCCAACAATTCTAAAGAACGTGAGTCGCGAGCTTCTTCTGTAGGACCGTTGCTTAACAGCAATGTCACCAATTCATCCGAAACAAACTCGTCTGCTACTCTTCATAAGGCCACTGGAGCTATACCAAAAACCAAAGCTTTAAATTTAGGTTCAACCAAAACTTCTAGTTCGAGTTCGTCGTCGCCCCCTACCACCGAGAAATCGGTAGCTACTTTAAAAAATACTTTAAGCAAGAAATCAACTACGTCATGTGCAAATACTAACACCAACAAATTAACAACTGCAACGAATACCTTTAACACTATGGCCATGGAGCCCGGCAACAGTACGTTAAATCGGATTTCAAAGTCTAGTCTGCAATGGCTGCTGGTTAACAAGTGGTTACCACTATGGATAGGCCAAGGTGCCGATTGTAAAGTTATAGATTTCAATTTTATGTTTTCACGTGACTGTGTCGACTGTGATGCCGCCTCAGCTACCGCTCAAATGACCAATCCGTACGCCACACCGCGTTTAAGTGGACTGCCGCAAGATATTGTTCGCTTTAATGCCCGAGCTATGTGCTGCAACGCTTCGCCAAATCAAATGTCATTTAGACGGCAGAATTCAGATTTAAATAGTCGGCCTGTACATAACACTTTAAATCGTTTACGCGAAGCGGAAACGTTCGTCAACAGTCGACGCTATGAAGATCCATCATACGAAAACGTTCATGTGCAATGGCAAAACGGTTTTGAATTTGGACGTTCTAGAGATCAAGAACATAATGCAATTTGCGGTCAGAACTCAACAGCTTCATACGCGATCACTGCTGTGAATAGGAACGCATTGCAAAGAGCTCGATGCGATAGTCCGAATTTAAATCAAAGAGTTTCCACCAATATTGCAAGCAGCCAACAGAAACGTTTAAGAACTAATACAAATAGTAGCAGCAGTAGTAATAGCAGTAGTAGTACGGGTAACTCCAAGTATAAAGATCCCTATCGTAATTACGAACTGAATACCGAAAGCAACACCTTTAAGCCGAAATCAAATCAAAACATGAAGTGTGACACCTTAATCGATAGCAACGCTAGTGAGAGTACTAATAAACTTATTGACGCAAATGTTGTTATTCTACCCGAAGAATTAGAAGGTGCTGTTGGGGGCACAAATCAATCACCATTATTGCCCACTGAAGACGCTACTGCAGCAGTAAATCTCTTAGAAACTAACAGTACGAGTGTATCGCCGCCTTTACCGCTCGTCAATGACATTGAACCGGAAGCGAAAACTGTATTTGCTAAGTCCGCAATCAATGAACAAAAAGATAATTAGAAGATGATCTTGTGTCGATTTTTTTTAAAGCGGTTATAATTAAGTATAACTTATAAGTAAAAAACAACAACAAAGTATACGCACTTGAATAATTTAATCCGCATTTTAAGTTTAACTTAATAATGGTAATTAGTTTATTAGCGATTAGTTTTCCCGTCTGTCCGTCCATAAACATTGGATTAGAAGACATTTGCTTATTTAACTTTATTAACAGTATGAAGGAATTATAAGAATACGATTAACCCAATAACAAAAACACATAATTTAATAACATTTACAAGTATTATCAGTTAATATTTAAGCGTATTACCTTAAAACCTAATATTTAATATATATAAAAAATACACCTATTATTATTACTGACAGGATGATTTTAACTTAAGTAAAAAACAAGCATATTCATCCCATACCTTGCAATACTCATTCATCGTATAATATTCATATCAAAACTTAGAATTTAATTTTTTTTTTTTTTTTGTTTTTTTCAAATAAAACAAACAACGCCGAATATGCTGCAAGAGAAATCAAAATACATTTACATAAATGCATATATAAATAATTCTCATCAAATTTATTTACATATATATAAATACATATATACATGTAGTTGTAGAACTAAAATCGTTTTTTATTTATAATCTTAAACGTTCGCGACTCTGCGAATCACTTTAGCAGATATGTCGAGTGTTTAAAAGTTTTGTAATAAATGCATGAGTAATGTTCAATTTCTTCTTTATTCGTTTGCTTTGAGACCTTTTCGACGGCAATCCAGCCATAAATCAACATAAATTATAACAAGGGCAGAATCCAACTCTACCCTACGGTGAAGTTCAATTGAATCCAAATAGGAAACGGTAGTAATAATAAAAACAAGAAAGAGACAGGTGTAAGTCAATCAATTCCTTTCTTGTATGAGGGGTTTGTGAAAATTTTCGTCAGCGACTTATGTACCCCAGGGTACATAACAAATAAGTTCGATGATTTCAGCCTTTCTCTACATAAAATAACAATTTTCCATTTAATATTATTGGTTTACCCAGTGCACATATGAAATTTGGTGACTTTATGGAATAAGCGCATATATATTATCAATAATTTGTAAAAATGCCAACCATCTGAGAATAAGCATATACGTTTGTTTTTGGCGCTAATCATGGAGCGCTCAAAATTCTTCTTCCAAATTCATTACTTTTATTGTTCATTTGAAGAAATCCGCTGCTTCAGAGGCTTATGGTGATACTGCTTCATCATATTCCAATTGTCGGTTTTGGTTTGGACAGGAAGAAATTTTCGAAAGCCTGACTGACTTGCTCCTCAGAATTGAAGGTTTTTCTCATTCAAAAAGGTGATAGTCTTTGGGGGTGAGGTGGGTGTGGTGAAACAGACCATCCAACCTCAAGAATTTTTCTTGAATCACCCATGCTGTATTTGGCCGCGCATTGTTGTGGAAAAGAAGGACATGGAATCCAGCTTTGCGAACTTACGATGTTTTGCTTTAGATTGATTTCGTGCCACTAGCTTGTCAAAATCCTAGTACACGCTTTATTTACAATTTTTACTAGATCTCTTCAGAAATAAATTATCTGCACGAGCTTAGATTTGCCAAGATTTCGACGCTTCTTTTCGAACTCCTGAAGTGCCTGAAGTGAATACCCTGCTTATATACCCTATTGAGAATAAGTGACCAATATAGGTTTTAATGCTAACTTTGTTATTAAACACGCCACCTGTTTCCTGTAAATTGATCTTAAATTTACCATCAATCGGCAGCTGCATAATAAGGTACCGTTATCGTAAAACACCAGCTGCATCAAGAATTACTTTATTACACTACTAGGTAAAATATCGAAAATCTTTAAAGGGGCGGACATAAAGTCTTAAATGGCAACTATCATGAGCTGCCACGCCACTGTACTGTTTTTCAGGAAAATGAAAACAAAAACATATGGTTTTAGAATCAAAAAGAAATAAATCCCTGTAAAAGTAAACAACAAATTAATGAAAAATAAAAATAAGGGAGTTAATATAAAACTGAATAAGCTTGCAGAGATTTACATTAGGTATAAATTTGCCTATGAATTATCCATAATTAGGAAATTACCTTTTATTACTCTTTAAGAAAACAACTTGATGAATACATTTCCACCTTAAAATATTATTCTTAATTTAGCCAGAGAATAACTCCTAAGTGCTGCAGCAATGGCGTCGAAGGCTATCTAAGGCTTTACTGGAAACTCTACCGCGCATGAACTCACGATCATTGAGTTGCTAGTCGAGACTCTTTGCCTACTCAGCAAGTCAGGCGGATGACCTTGTTTTCCATTCCTTACAGGAAGCTAGTGATCGCAGCCGACTGAGCACTCACGATAACGCACGACCATAGTAAGCACTACCGCCCTTCGATTTGAATCCCCGAGAGAAAGTCTAGTTTCGTACCTTCTAGTTTTTTATGAAGGAAACTGAAAAATAATAAAATTTTTGGGAAGTAAATTAAGTTTGCTAAATTTGGATCGCGTCATATACTTTTCTTGGCATCCTCCAGTATGGGGGCATTAAAAATGTGCCTTTGCATGAAAGTAAAGTGTAATATTTTATGTATTAATACCAAAATTAGTGAACAAATGCATTGGACGAAGTGGAGTAGGATATCTACCGATCGACATCACTCAACTATTATATGGCTACTTGTGTTTTCTTAGTTCTTACTTACTCCTCTCTAATTGCACATGTTTTCATCGTTTCACACGTTACTTTTACGTCTTGCGTGTGTGGTTTTTTCTTATAATATGTGGTTTTTTTTTTACATTCGCAAATGTACATGTTTGCTTTCGTAACAAACCAAGTACACTATACACGTTTTCCGAGATTTTTTTGCTTATCTATCTGGCTTGTGTCGGAAAGACGTACTGATGTCATTTGGAATACGCAAACTTAATGTATAATACATAAGTTTTTCGGCAGATGAGGTTCAAAAATGTTTTCACCATATTTACAAAATTTTTAAAATTAAATAATAAAATCCAAAGTAAACGTTTTCCGCCAAACATGTAATCAATATTTTCTGCAAACATTTTCTAACCAGTTAAAAAAAATGTTTTATTTGCAGCAGGCATTTAGTTTAATTGTATAACTAATCTTATATGACTTATATGACTGGTAGTGGAAATTATAGCGTATGTTTGGTTCCTTTTATAATTCCAGAAAACATTATCCTTTTTTTAATAAAAATTGATTCAAATTTACTCAGTACTTAGTGGCTATGTCAATTAACATAGGGCTCGTTTTACTTTCATATTAGTGGAAGAAGAATATCCTCGTAAGTTATCTCAATGCAATAGACTTTTTGCACTTTGTAAATGGGTAAGAAAATGATCGATTCGAAATGATTGCAATGATCGGCTTATTTGCAGCTACAAAAACATTTCTGTCATTACATTTGTATACCAACATATCGTTTATATATAACATTTTAAAACATTTCTTTCATTTAATTATATTTAAAATATTCGAGTTTAGTTTTGCTTTAGTGAATCCTAACTACTAACGCTTTAATAACACATTTTAAATAAACGATTATAAACACTCCGGCAACTCCTATGCCTTAGTGTCATTAAAATGTAATAGATTTTTATGATGATTTGTCAAAATACGACAGAATTTGATTCAGATTATATTGTGCTTGGGTGAGTTTTGGACGTGAAATTATTTGATTAGACAGAAGAAAATTTAAAAATTTAAAATTTTTCATAGAAATTGCCACAAAAAAGCAGAAAACGAACAAAAAGACTGTAACGAATAAATATTCATAAAGAAGGCATTTGTCGTATGCCCCTAATCAAATGAAAAAAACAATGAAAAAATAATGAAAGTCGAGATTTTTCTAACCTATATTGCCAGCATATTTATTTGTATGAAAAATATATATAATTTAGGGGTTTACTGAGAAATAATCGTGTAATTTTTGCATATCACATAAGAATATTAATTATCGATTGGTGACTATATCGATTCCAATGGAAATCAATTAAAAAGCAAAAAAACAAAAAGCTGCTGGGACATTCATGGTAAAGTTGTGAAAATTTTCTTTAATTGGTGTGATGGGAGAAAAGCAAAATGGCGTTAAAGGGCGTCTCCCAGGCAATTGCGTATTAAAATTGTAGTAGATTTTTAAAGGTTTGAAGCAATACTTCTTTTTTATCTTAGACGCGAATCTAGCTAATGCACACAACGTTGTAGAATGGTTTCCGAACAGTATTTAACAATTTTAATGAGCGGATTAATAATAACATTAGCGTCGGGTAGTGGGTATGTATTTATTTTATCGTTAAGTTTTGCGTTTGTGGTTAGTTAATTGAGATAACGTAAATAAAATATTAGGAAATTGCCATAATGTTTGCCGATTTGCCATCACGTGCAAAGTAATTTCATAAAAATTGATTCCCACAACAGTTGACCACTTTGTATTAGCAAAATATGCCGTCTAAAGCGAAAAAGAGGAACGAAAAAAACCTTTTTTTAAAAAAAAAATCAAGTTCTCATTGAAATTTGTTTAGAAGGAAATAAAGAAAAAATTTTTAAGAGATTTTTTGGCATATTTTATTTCTATAATTTTTTATAACGTTTTTAGTTTTTACTTTCACCATAAAGAAGTGAAGAGACATTTGTGAGTGAATTTCATTAACACTGGATTTAGTGCGTGTGCTATTAACAACTTTATGCATTGTTGTATAAAAATTTTGCATTTCTCTCGCTATCATTTTGATGACAGACTGTACAGGACATTGTTTATAAAGCAATTTTTTTTTCTTATCTTTGTTTATTAACGGAGTAGTACGCATAGCATAGGAGCAATATCCACCATAGTACAGTTTAAATTTCTCAATTTTACCTTCTTTTTTCCAGTCACGGGTTTAATTTTAATGGAAGCCAACTAGCTGTTCCTCTAACAAAAAAACAACTTTGCTCCGATAGAAGAATTTAAAAAAAATTATTAGTTTTATTTGATTTGCCGCTTGCTTGACAAAAGCGAACATTATTTAAAGACAGTTTCAGTGCGCGATTAGAACACCCTGTCTTTTGTCTTATTCTTTTACAAAAGTATTGTCGCCATTTTATTTAGAGAAAATTTTATGTATATATTCCATTTAAAGAATTATAGTTAGTCATCAAGTGATTTACAACAGCGCAAATACAAAAAGTAAACGCACAAGTCTGTGTCGTAATAAAAGCCTACACAACTTATCTTTAATTAATGTATTTATTCTGCAATAATTCAAAGCATTTTAGGTAAAATTTTATGTTTTTAGGAAATATTGAAAATAAAATTTAATTAAAAAGGGGAGGGATGAGTTTTCTTTGCTTTTTTGTGATTTATATAGTTATGAAGCAATATTCATGGCTTAAATAATTGGCAGAAATAGTTACAGTCGCACAAAAATTTTCTTTGTGAAAGTTTTAGATAATTAAAATAATTGCTTTTTGCCTATTTTTTATTTTTGTTATCATAGATGTTGAACTTGAAAATATAGAAGCAATTACGTAATATCTGAGTGTACAAATTATTTAGAAGCAGTGAAAGTCAAGCGTTGAGTTTCTCTGCAAAATTGATTTTTATAAAGACGGCGAAGCTTAATTGTTAAAATGGTGAGTTTTCTTCTTTTTTTTTTTTCTCTAAATTCTACGAAATGTGGGCCATGTTGCAATTTAATAATATATGTTTTTTTTTCTTGTTACAGCCACGAATAGTGCCTATACAATTATTGAAATGCCTCAAAGTTCTGTTGGATGATAATGGAGGCATATTAAGTGCCGGAGAAGTGAAACGAATAGCAAGGTAAGTTGGTTTTAATTATCTATCATAGCATACTTTAATGTAATTGAAAGTGGAAACGTGTAATATGGCAACGGGGTTGGCAAAAAATCAATTGCGAAGAAGTCTACTAGTGTGCCACGTTGTTGTCTTTCTTACATGGCTTAGTGTTGCCATAATACATAAATTTAAGTCAATCGTACAATGTTGTCTTTACTCACAATTGTCACATTTATTGATTTTATTTTATATTGCGTTTTAACATTTTACAGTTTGATGACTAAATATTCGAAAAAATTGGTTTCCAAGTGCATTTATGTGCAAATTTTGAAATGTACCAAAACTGAATTACTGGGCGAATTTATGGGAGCTGGAGGTTGGTCTTTAGTGTACACCTGGTTAAATGATGCTATCCGTGCTATGAATTGGCCTTTGGTGCAAGAGATTTTAGAGTTATTATTATTATGTCCGGTGGATGTGCATCGTTTAAAAATAAATTCTGCTCCTAAATTAGTTAAAGGCCTGTGTAAGGATGGCGGGAATGAAGGTAAGTACTCATTATAAATAAATTTATGAAATAAAGTAAAAATAAATATGTTGTGTGAAATTATTTATTTCCCATATTTGCTGGAATCTCAAAGCATAGATATACACATATAAATAGATTATATTTATCCACCAATAAATATGCTTTTCATTCCCTTGGAAAATTTCTCTCATACATACACAAACTGAAAATGCCAATAAATGTGGTGTTTGAGGGTCCGAAAAGTTCTTTTTTTAAGGCACTTACGCAGGAGAATTTTTACAAATGACTGAGAATGTAATCTCTCTGGTCTGAAATTGAAAAGTTTACATCAGATGTAGGTTCTGGTAAAAGCGCTTAGATGTACTAAATTTGATTCACATCTTACGGCCCTCTACCCGTTTTATTTACTGTAAGGAAAATTTTCATTGCTACCCTTAATTTTACTAAATACTTTAATACATTTATGTAAGAACGTAGAGATTCCTCCTAAAATGGCAGTTGTTTTTTAATTTTTCCCAAAAAATTTACCAGTTTCACTGCGAACGCATGCTTTCATTTATACATTTTACCTGGTTGCTCATTTACTGAGCATACATTATGTGTATGTGGGTGTGTATATTCGATTAGCCTTTTTGTAATTTGTGCATATATAGGCTTGTAAAGTATGAGTAACGTAAGCATTTAGGCATATACGTTTTAATTGTTAACAACTCAGTACGTGAAAGCAGTGATTGATTTACAACTTTGTGCTCGTACTTTATTTTAACTTCAATGCGCGATTTTTTTGTGCAATTAAAGCTTACCTTTCTTTTTCCACGATTTCTTTGGTAAGCCTTGAAAATTTAATTTCATTTGTTTTTAATTTCTCGAATGGCTTCTGCTTACTATTGGTTTACACTACACGTATGCATATATATAATGTGAATTTTTTTTAAGTTTTTCGTAGATATTCGTTTAATTGAGACAAAGTTTTTGGGAAAGAAATACATCGCATAAGGATTGTATGCTTTTTTAGAAAACATTTAAGAAAATGTGCCTCTTTACAAGTTTTTCTTTACTCCAGGTCTTCCAGTGTTTGTAGCTAGTTTCTTATTTCTTCCATTTTGTTATATATAGCAGCGAACGCGAATCGAGAAAAGGGTCAGCGGTTAGGAAGAGGACTAACAAGCTCGCCGAAAACTTATGTCCTGATCACTATTAAAAAGCAAAGGAAACTTTAACCATTATGGAAATGACCTAAGCGAGGAGTAAAAAAAAGTATTTCATGTTCTGCTTGCTCCAGTTTCCGTAATGCTTTTTCTGGTCTCCCCTTAAGGTTAAGCTCTTCTTGGGAGAAGCACCTACACAAAAGGCATGCCCTTCAAGCAAAAGTGAACGTTTGGATATATAGAAAAATGAGATTTTCGTTCCTTGTTCTTCACTGTCAACTCCATGCTCATGGAGGAGCATATTACTTTCCTGAAACAACGGGTGAGGGAATACTTTTACATTAAAGAGCAAAACAACACGTTATATCCCTTTATGTTAGACTATATTAATCGTGTGACATTTGAGAGAGTCTACTTTGCATCTACTAAGGCATCATTAAAGGAACGTAAGCATTAGCAAAACTGGAAGCGTGCGGTTGAAGGGTCACTTCGTTTCTTTTTTTTTTGGTTCGTGCCTCTTGGGGGAAATATGGACTTCGTACATATGCTAAACAACAAGGGCATGTACTTCACATACTAAACAAATTATTTAGTAGTGGAAGACCAAAAAGTTCTTAAATAAACCAACCTTTCAGCAAAAATAGTGGAGGCTATCATTAGGAAATGGTAAAAAAGTTTTTGCAGTTTTTTATTTTAGGAAAACCTTTGGTTTTAAAAAGTGTGAATCGATAAACATATTTATAGACCACACGTGTGGGATCTGAAATGAAGCCACCTTTTTGATTTTAAGCAATGTCTCGTGAGGAATCTACTGAAAAACTTGTATTTGGAAGAGTTGTGGATTTATAAAGGTCATCTATTAATTGAGCGTAAATTGTTCGACTGTTGCACGTCTTGTGATATGAGCACACTAGCAATTTTCACTTCTAATTTGTAACTTTCCAGGTTATTTCAACAATTTATAAGAGACGAGTTATTAAATTAACGTCTCAGGAAGATTAAGAATATGTATAAATAACCTGATATTTTAAAGTGCATTATAAGTTATTGTAGAAGACGCTCTTGCGCCGAGAATAATATTTCAAATATTTTTGAATCGCCAATAGCAGGCTTGCAAATAACTAAATTAACCTAATAATGAATGCAAATGAAATTTATTATAAAGGCAAAATTACTTATAAGGGCAAGGAAACATTATTGTATTTTTAGATTACTTTGTAAAATTATGATTTCTTTCTTGTGTCTTGACCATTTTTTATGCTGTTACGAGAAATATGCATCCTCAGCTTCCCATCCCAATCACTAACTATTTTAAGCCAAAATGTATGCATGTTTGTTATCCGAAATCTCCAAATCTCAAGTAAGCAGGTAAATTATGACAGAGAGATGCGTAGGGCATAATTAGCCAAGAGCAAACTGTGGAGTAAGGTCCAAGTGCCGTCCAGAGACACCAACTACTACCCCTTTCCATAATCGCACAAATGATGGCATTTTCTCGGAGTTTTCTTTAAATATATCGGCCGTTCTCCTTTGCAATTAAGTCTGTTATTAAAAGAAAATGTCCACCCTTTTCAAATAGAATGAAGGCAAGAAATTTATTGGGTCCACACCGAGACACCCTAATAAGGCGCATTTCTTTTATTAATTTTAATAACTTTCTTATTTTTACTGGAACTAAACTTATTTCAAAAGAAAGCAAAGAATGCAGAGAACGGCGTAAGTCTTCAAAAGAAAAATGGTTTATAGTGAAAAGTAATTACTAAAGTTTTATCCGAACGAGTTGTTTGCAAACACCCACATCCGGTAGTTTAAAAATTGAATTCCTATATACTATAGATTGTAAAAAATTTAATCGTAAGAGTTAAGTCGTCTGCCTTTGGTATAGTTTTAAAGATGCCACTTCCTTTTTCTAATAGAAGTTAAATACATGGGTAAACATTCCTTTTTATACTTACTTATGTAAAGAATATTTTCTCTTCATTAAATCCATTGCATCGCCATCTGAATTTTAAGAAAGCCAAATAGGAAAAGTTTTGTGGCTTCTAAAAAAGTCATATTTGAAATTCATCATTGAGATTTTTAACACATGATTTATTATATTTTTGAAAATTCCATTTCAAATTTGCGAGGCTGAAGATAGATAATCTGGTCTGCGACAGGCATTTCAAACTACGCTGACAGCCTGAATTTAACCCCAATTTTCTACATTTACGTTTCAGGTGTTCGCATATTGGCTAAACGTCTTGTCGAGCAGTGGTTAAAAATTGTTACGGACAATCCTGAAAGTTCTGCGTCAAAAACGCCAGCGTCAACACAAATTGCTAATCAAAATCAGTCAGTTAACAAGGCGATGACCCCGCAGCAAAGCAGCCTAGTCAAAACTTCTACGACGGCAGCAATTACTCCAGTCGATATTTCCGTATCTGTAACACAATCGTCTGCAACTGTTAATTCCGCACCTTTAACTACAAATACAACAAGCGGTTGTCTGACAAATGTTACAACAACAACGCAACCGGAAACAAAGCAATCTGGAGCTGAGAACATGCAACAAGTGCAAGATGAAAAGCAAATAAATAATAAAGAGAAAGCACAGCAAAGAGACGAGCAGAAAGAAGAATCTCAGGTCGAACAAGATCCTCTCGGTGAAGTGCAAGATGTGACGCCGACATCGACCTCATATACGTTGACACCAGCTCAAAAGAAAGCCAGCGAAAGCGGTTTAGTGTATAAAATAGTTGTTAAGGATGGTCAGCAAGTGCTAGCCAAAGTAGCAAAACCTGTTGTCCCCGTCGTTAAGCTCTCAGCTAGTGCGATCGCTGCTGCAATTTCCTCAGCTCGTGATAAGGAAAAAAGTGCTAATGATAGTCTTGGTAAGGAAGGAGAAGATACTGAAGATGGTGAAGGTACAAATTCAATAAATGACTCAAACGCTGCGGCCGATGTAGAAGAAGACGACAACAGTTCGTCGTTGGACAAAACTGAAAAAGAAAGTGAAAATAATAGCAGCACTGAAGAGGAAATCGATACAATGAAGAACAAGCACAAATCTAGTACAGAAGCGGATAAAAAAAATGACGATAAGAAATCTGAGGGCGAGAAAGAAAAATCGGGTTCTGCTAGTCGTAAAGAGCATAGACGTTCGAAAGACTCGAAAGATGTCAAGGAAAGGCGTTCCAGTAGTAGCGGAATAGAGAAAGATAAGGAAAAAGATAAAGACGGGAGATCGAAAAGTTCTTCAAGTTCCGGTCACAAATCTTCTAGTCATAAGTCATCGTCTTCGAAAAGTTCGTCATCCTCATCGTCGAGTAAATCGAAATCTTCTTCGTCTTCTCATCGCAGTTCTAGTGATAAGCACAGGAGTGATAAGGACCGTTCCAGTTCCAATAAAGAAAAAGAGAAGGACCGTAGCAGCGGCTCCTCCAGTTCGTCGAGTAGCAAACATAAATCATCTTCAAAGTCGTCGTCGTCATCCTCCTATTCATCAAGTACAAAGGATAAACATCGCGATAAGGAAAGAGAGAAATCTAGTAGCAGCTCTTCCGTGTCATCCTCCTCTGCTAATAAGAGTAAAGATAAAGAACGTTCAGATAAAGATACAAATCAAATTGAAAAGGATAGAACTGCAAGTAATCATGAAAAAAGTAGTAGTAATATCTCGACGTCTCCATCGATAGACAAATTGGGTAGAATACCTAAGAAACCGAAAGATGATGCCAGTGCTAGTGCCAGCGATGAGTCTCAAACTAAGCCTACTTCAATTACAATTCCATTTAAGAAAGCTTCCATCTCGATAGAAATCCGTAGAGATTCGGAGAAAGCTAAAACCGTTAAAACGTACAAATCTCAGTTTCGCTCGCATGGGTTGACGGAAGAAGCACCGCCTCCGCCGTCACGTAAAGGATTAAAGAAACCTTCCTTTGGCGCACACACGCCTGGTACCATATTGCCCACCTCTTTGCCATCTTCGCTCAAGCGTTCTTCGCCAACACCGCGCGATTCGCCCGGTGAAAAAAGATCTAAGATTGATTTAAATAATGTAACGTTAGCGAATGAGAAGCCTGGAGCTATTAAACTTATACCACCCAAAAAAAGTAAGTATAGGTCGCAAGAAACAGTTACTAATTGTCGCGTTTTTCTCCTCTTTTCTTTGCAGAGAAACGCATTGATCGTCGTCGAATTTGCTTTGCATTTAAGTATAAATATTTTTTTCCTGTTATTTGCTTAATTATTTATTTTATTTTGCTTTTCTTTGTGTGTGAGAGCAACGAGAAAAGAGAACAAATGTACTTTTTCGAATACTCACGAGTCTGTTCATCATGCTACGACACTCAAATGCGTGTTTATTACCTACCTACCACCGCCTTCAGTGTTTTTGTCTACCTCTTCCTCCTTCAACACATACCGATTGCAAGAGAGTGAAGAAATGCGATGCGCTGGACGGATGGGTGGCCTTGAATTTGAAATAATATTTCAACAAATTATTATTGTTCCTTTTTGTTGTGCAGCATATTTATGAAATTTATGATTTTTTATTTCCCCGTCATCAGTGTAAATGCCACGAAGAGCTTTACATACAATAACGATCGATAGATATAAAGAGTTATTGCGCGATGAAAATATCAAAATCCTGCGATGTCTACGTCTTTAAAGCAATAATCCGTTATCCAGTCTATTCAGTGGTTAATCGCGAAAGTGTACAAAATATTTAAAAAAGCAAATGAAATGCGTTTTTGGAAAAGTTTTTTACATCAGCATTTTAAAAAAGGTTACTATTTTAAATATTGTTTAGATGAATTTTTTTTTTTTTAGATAAATAAAATAATTAGTGTTTGGATAAGTAGTGTAAAAATGTAGGGAACTATCGAGCTATTAATCTACAGCATTATGGCGTTTATCGATTCAATTCAATTTCACTCTCAGTATATTTGTGGAAAAACTATTCATACGTCCTGAGAACTTCGGCACTGCCTATTTTCTTTTCCTGCTTGGTTCAGCCAAGTTGAAAACAAGCGGCAGGCAGTAAGTGCCCTTTTATTTCAAAGTCGGGCTAACATTCTCCTCTGACACAAACCCACTGTTAAAAAGGCAAAAAAAAAAAAACGTAGCAACTCGATTTTGCTACTAAGGATGGGCCGGGCTGGTAAGCGCCATTTAATAATTAATGAACAGCGAACGAGGGGGCTCTCTCCAATAAATATTCGATTGAATTCCGGAATTATGTCTAAAAATTAAAACTATAATTAGTTTTCAATTTGTTTTTTTACTTATATTTTGGCCATGTTGCACCTATTGGTCTAAAATATTCAATCGGTTATGCACCCGGTTTTTCTGTTTTGATTTTCCCAATACTTTTGAGAATTTCAACAACAAATTTGGAGGCCTTTCATGTTCAAGTTAATCTTGAATGTTAATTTGTTCGAGTTCTACAAACCTGCAACATTGACATATATATACATAAATATCCATGCATATATGAATTCGAAAACAAACTTATTTATGAAAGCCAATAAATATTTTCAAAAGCAATATTGGAATGTTATGCACTTGACTCCACGCGTTTTCCATTAAGCAAGGGTTCAGTCGATCGGCCACAGTATATAAGATAAAATTTCTCGAACTCTGAAATATTTTGAAATCAACTTTGCTCACAGATGAGATTTTTGAAATATCTAATATCATGACAATGCAGCGCTGGTATTGAATAGAAGTCAAATGTGATTATGCAGCTACTGTTAAAACCTATCATTATTATTGGGCCTCTCAGGTAACACACATCGGACGACGTATGAAGAAGAAGTGCTCAAGAAAGCAGGTTTATTTAATTTCTCAATATATGATCTGTAGCAATTTCCTATGACTGGGCTTCAATCCCAATGCATTCTTTTTGAAGTTTGGATACGTGTTTCGATTTGACTAAGTCTGTCTGGGTTTGCAGTCTCTCTAACTAGCTCATGACTTGTGGATTGTAAAGACAAAGTTTAGCTATGAGAGTTCAACCTACCTAAGAGCTTGTCCAGAAAATGCAAGTTTTTTTATGCATTTTTCTTCAGCGATTTGAAATTTGAATGAAAGCATGAAAAGCTGGTCTGGCCCATACATTCGGACAAATTCAAGTCCGGCTGAAAATGATCTGAATGAGTAAATTTTCTAATAAGAGTAAAGCAAACGAAGGGCTATATTCGGCTTTATTGCCCCCATGATTTTGACAGTCTTGACAGATGATAACGAATGCGGCATAGTTAAATCGATTGACACTAACCTCTTCTTCATGATAATGATTACAATCTGAAGGAGGGAAAAAAAAGCGCACGAAATGCTGAACACATCAGCATATGAAGAAAAGTTAATTATATAGGACTATGGGTTGTCTGCCCATTAAAATTTTCCTTCCCCTGCGTAATATCCGGAGCTATGTACACAGCTATGCAAAACAGATCCGACGACGAATTCGTATCTAATGTAGAATTTCTGGTTGATTTCGATGTGGCAATCTGTGCGTCGTCTGTCCTTCGAATACTGTTGGAAAGCTCACTGTTGCAAAAGTTTAGATGACTAAAATTTTCAGTTTGTATGCTTAATCGATTGCCATTGATTGCCAAGTTCGACTAGGACGGCATTTTTAATAGGCCATAAACAGTCATTTGGAATCCATAGCAGATGTAGATTCGGAACTTGGCATAAATATATTTATAGAGATAATCTGAAAGCCACTAGCAACGAAATAAATTTCATATCGATGTTTGCCATAAGACGTAGCATATTTTAGGAAATCAATTCATACAAATGGATATTCTATACTCTTCTCGCTCTTACAGCTATACTGTTCCGATTTTCAAATCAGATATCGAAACTTAGCACGACGGCGCCGCGTTTGAGAATTCTTGATTTGTGTATTTCCAAGAATATCAACAAGATCAAAATCTTACAGAGGAGCTCTTGCCCCGTTTGCCTGTTAGAAAGTGGAAGTGTAAACTTTGTTTTTCCTTTCAGCTTACATGTAGCTCGGTTATATAAATATAGGAAGAAAAAGGCTTAAGGACTCTTAGCGTTGAAGATTTTTTTTCTTCGTGGGTAGATAGGTATAATTATTACACAGTTTTAAACAAGTTTGCTAGAGTGCATGCAGCTCGAAAGAATGGTTATATAAACATAGGAAAGAGGCTTCAACATTGAAAATTTTTTTTGCTTACATAGATGGTTATCATAATTATTCCAAAATTATATATATAAATATAGGAAGAAGAAGACTTAGAAGGCGTTTAAAACTTTTCCTTAAACAAGAACTGTGCAATTGAAGATTTGCAAAAGTTAATTGTACGAAAAATGCGGCATTCTTGCAACTACTACTCGACGGATATAAGAGCATAAAGAGTGCGGCGTGAACTTCGCTAAAAGAGAGAAAAAAAAAGAAAAGAAAAGCCCCCTAATGAAAATGGAAATGCGAGTGAAAAAGTGTATTCCGTGCTCGTTGCTGATCGTTACATTAGAAATTGTATTATACTTTAAGCAAAAAAGTTAATTGTGTGCGATTCCTTCCAATTCAATTGCGACGTAGAGAGCGTTGATGCACCTATGATAAGTATTAAACCCAATTACGTAATATTTCTTATTAATAATATTATTTATGAAATCGCCATATTAGAGTATATTAAGTTTTAAACTTAAATACTTAAAGGAAATTTAAAGAAAAGAAAAATAAAATGCATTTTTTTCTAATGGTAAACAATAAAGCGAAATCGAGCTGAGTAAATCCTTTAAGTTTGGTAGCAAACTATAAATACACAAACAACAACAAAAAAAAAAAAACTGTAGATTGAGTACAAAAAAAACTTTGTTTCAATATATATATATATATTTACATGTATATATATATATACAGACATATATATGTTTTCAAGCACACATGCGCGCTATTAGCAACGAATTACAACATAAAAAACAAGTTATTTACATATAAGTACACATTCATACGGTGCTCAAATGATGATTTTTTCGCTATGATCTATATAGAAATTCATATATTCGTATATTACAAATTTTTAGGCCTACACTTTAACATGCACAATAGTTTACCCATGTTTATAGAGTAATAACAAGAACTTAGAATAAATTTGATAGAAGTCTTTTTTTTTTTTTTTTTTTTTTATATAGTAATATTCAGGCGTAGGAGTTTCTCGTCTTCTTAATAAGAACTCTGAAAAGGGCTAAGGGCTTAGATGAACTCTTTTCAAAGTCTTCATACGGCCAAATATTTATTTAGAATCGCTAGATCCTCTCGGGATCCTATATAAAGTTTGCAATGGCAAGTCAAATTAGTCTTCTCTCTTCTCTTAAAATCCAATATCGGATAGATGGCGGTAAAAACAGTTTAACAAGTATAATATCGCTTACTAACTCTTGTCAACCGGAATCGATTGGTTTATTTGTGCATAATTCAATCGTTAGTCAACTTTATGCATTTGTGATCAGATTTTTAAGCCTTGAGCTTCAAGGCGGGTTTTAATGCGATACAACTAGATATAGAGGCGTGGGCGTCGCGCAAACTTTTATGGTGATTTTAATGTTATCGTCTGTCCACATTTTAAAGTTTCTTTTTAGAAAAGGAGGATTGATTTTTTTGAAGGAAAAGGCTTGACTTTGTCCTTGTTTCTCAGATTTATCTAAATTCTTTTATTATTCAAAAGTGCAGCTGTTCTCTCAGCCTCGATCTACAGTTCTTCAAAATCAAATTTTTAAAAAGATATTGGCACGCTTGAAACGAAATATTGCTACCAGGGTTAAAGGATTGCAGCTTTGTGTTTTTATTCATACTATAAAGGGTCCCTTTGCGATCGACATTTCGAAGACTTGTGCTAGCGTAATGTTACTATTTGGACGATTACAGAAAGTAAGATTATTAAATCTTTTGCTGGTTACTAAGAACTTCGGCCACGGTTACGTTCGTCAAATTTTATGGCGTCTTTTCTGTTGTTACTGCTTCCGGTCTCTTTGTTGGTTACCTATGCTACCTTATTTGCAAAATTTCAAATACTTCAAGCCAGTGCAAACTGCCATCGCCTACGAATGAAATTTTTCGAAAAGCATGTTAGATTGAAATTCTCAGAAGCAACATCTACGGTCTCCAATTCAAATAGACGTCTTATGAAAGTCTTATATAATGTTGATCATCACCAAGTCCTTGCGTTTCGATTGATTCTTATGTAAAATTTTTTCTGGACCCTTTTACATGTGACTAATAATAATTAAGATTTCATTATTCATTTTTAAACTTTTGTATTTAGATTCTGATACGAATGCAAAGCAAATTTTTGGCGTTAATGTGGATCTTCGTTCTTTCTCTGCTGAATATTATATATTGAAATATATATTAAATTTAACTATTCCTTTTTTGTTTATTTGCTTTATTTTTTTACAGTACAAACGCTTGTTGAAACCAATCTGTTTTCCGATGCTTTGTCGGCAGCTACTGGACCTAAAAAAGTTACAAAACGTAAGCGACCTCTTACACCTTCATCGGCCAGTACTGGTACGGCCGCTTCAAGTTGTAATAAAGAAGGACCGTCTCCATCCACAAGTCCTGATTTATCAAAAGTCGTTAGTTTGAAATTTTATCAAGACACTTTAGATGAAAGTAAAACAGAGGATTCCAAATCGGATAAGGAAAATGAGAGCGATAGCATTAGTAAAGAGAACTGCGAAGATAGTTCATTGGATAAGGATATTGAAGATGATGATGACATTCCTTTGAAGAAAGTTAAGGAAGATATTGAACAAAAAGTGGCCAAAGAACGAAAATTGGATGTTGATGGTAATATAATCGATTTAAGTGAAACCGAAGATTTAAACAGAGGCAAAGAAGGATCACCTAACGAGAATTCGTCAAATGAAGTAGTAATTGTGGTCGAAGATGAACCCAGTGGTGTAAGAAAACCTGGTCCTGGCTGTGGCCCTAATGGTCCGCCAGGTGTTTTAATGTTGCATCGTCGTAAGGGCCCCAAAAAGAAGTTGTCTTGGTCTCCGCAGGAGACCTTGGAACAAATTCGCTACTTTGAGTTGGATGAGACAGAACGTGTAAATGTGACGAAGACTTCTTTCATGGATATGAAGAACTTGGAACGTTTCAATGAACGTGACGCTATTATAATGTCGCGCCGTGGTTTCCAAAGGGAAGATAATATGGAAGCACAGACAACTTGGAAGCCCTTAATTGAAGTAGAAGATGTGCCACATCACCCGGATGGCAGTCAATCCAAGCAGCGGAAAATCCAAGCTGAACGTGAGATGACCACATTGAGAGCTCTATACTTTTCCCATGCCATTATACCGGACTCCCCTGCCGAAGCAGAGATAGAGCCGGTGTTTGCTTACGACGTGCCGGTAATACCATTAGATGATTTAACTGGCAATCCGGATGCTGTTAATGATTTTACCAGTATGCCGTGGCCGGAGCCAAAAGGTTCTCCTAAACAAGGTGATAATTCTATGTCAGGCACTGGTGGCTTAGGAAGCCCCGTAGATATGTTTGCCGGTCCAGTTCCAGCTGTGATACCAGCAAATACAAACAATCCTTTTAACCCTTTCTTGAGCCCTTTTGGGAATTCGGGAGGTCAAGCTCCACAGCAGATGCCATTGCAAAATGGACCGCAGAGCCCTTGGCAAAATCCAACAAATGCAATGGGTCCTATGGGACCAGGCAATGGACCCTTATTGGGTAATCCCTTCAATGGCCATAGCAGTCCTACTATGGATATGGGTGGACCAGGTATGGGTCCTGTACCTATGGTTAATAATGGTCCTCCGCAAAATTTTTTGGGGCAATTTGGACCTAACGGTTCGCCTTTCGGAGCGCCGCCTGGCTCTCAGTTCGGTCCACCAAACAACGCGATGTTTAATGGGCCACCTAAAAATTTTGGGCCGATGGGTCCTATGCCACTTATGGGGCCTAACATGAATATGTTGAACAATAATGGTCCGATGATGAACGGGCCAAATCAACGTCTCGGCAATAATCGTAATAATGGCGGAAATGGAAATTGGCGCACTGGCGGCTCGAATTTTCAGGACAACAACAGCGGCAATAACTGGCGACCAAATATTTCGAATCGTGGCAACAGTGGCGGCGGTAATAACAGCAATAATGGGGTGTGCAAGGCTTTCATGCGCGGTCACTGTCATTTGGGCAAATCATGCAAATATATTCACCCAAAAAGGAAACGCATTTAGGAGTTGCATGAATCTTCTTCCCCCTTGGAAGATATTTCAATTTCTTCCGGCCCAACAATTTTCAAACATGACTGTGATAAAAAAGCCACTTAATATGTGCACTAATTGACCTTTGTCCATAGCCGATTTGGCCTGCAGGCCTAGGACATATAATGCTAAGTGGAGCAGAGGTCATCGCTACATTAAGTTGTTCCTATCGTAGGAGACACAAGAAAAAAGACTGTTATTGCTAATTTACTGTTATTAATTTTTCACATAACTTAGGTTTTTATTATTGTTTTTGAATCTAATTAAATAAATTGAGCACTAGCTTCAAGAGCTATCAGTTCTGTTTTTAAATATTTTATGACTATTTGTATCATTTCATTGCCTTTCCTTAAATTTATATATTCTTGTATTATTTGGTTACTTCTTTTAGAATCTCAAGATGCCTATCCTTCCGAATCAAGAAGAAAGATTAAGGCGATCGTAAAGCATGCGTTTCATTTTAAGATTCTGTTCCAGTTGAGATGTATTGACATCGAAAGATTGGCATTAATCTTACACAAATCAATCAGTATAGCCTAGCGTGTGGAAAGTCTTGTGTGCCGGGAGTCTTTTTGGATTTGTTTGCTTTCTGTAATGATGTCACTCAATTTTCAGTCTCCCAAAAATTTTATTCATGCTTAAGTGTCACAAGAGTTCAATGTGAGAGAATTTTTAAATTGTGCAACCTTATCTCTTTGGAAATGAGAGGTAGCTAGCGTGTAATTATGTGTAACATGAAAATTTAACGCCGTTATTGGTCAAGTGAAAAAATTCCAAAAAAAAAAAAGATTTTGGGGGGAAGTTGTTTTTTTCCCCTCTACAAGAATATTATTGTGCAGTTCCCAGCTGCTAAGTTTTGAAATTTGAATTGCAAATAGAACGCGTAGAAAAGGAGCACAGTTGGTCACCTTAGTACATGTCGCGCAAAGATTGATTTTTAAGAAAATTTAATAAGCAGTGAAGTGTTGAATTCTAAAAGTATGTTTTCATTTACGCAAAAAATATAAAATTTAATTTGGAAAGGTGTGTCTTTGCCTTTTGCGCGTTTATTACCCGTATACAGATAGCTATTTTATATGATAATGATCAAAATAGGCCTCGCCAGCTGGGTTGCTTTGTCTGTACGGCACTGGACAGGGAAGTGTTCAATTCTTACAAGGCATCAGTGTGCTGTTTTAGTTAAGTTTACTTACTTAACAAAGCTTGTAATCAATGAAACCGAAACGTGTTCGCCTACCTACACTTTATTTAACAGAGAAGTCTATGGTGTGTGCTAAGCTTCAAAGTGTCTATGGGGGTAAAACATAAAAGTTTCAGGTGATCAAATACGAGCTTTTGTGAAAAAAATTAAACAATAAGCAGGCATTGTTAAGATCTTTCAATATCCACTTACAGGGACTTGGCCTTGAAGGAAAGGAATTTAAAGAACAAATGTCACGACACTCTTCAAGGTTGCATTTTGCAGGATTGCTTCACATATCCCTTTTATTTGAAGATTTATTATGTCTAGCAATGGAGGAGAAGAAAGTCAGCAGCGTAGGTTTCGAGCTCATTTAATTGTCTAATGTGAGACTATTAGAGACGCAGAAATTGAGATTGTAAAGTTAAAACATCACATGGTAAACTGGCTTACCAAGTTGAAAACAACCATAATTCGTTCACAATCAGCTACAATAACTGACAGCTGAAGTAACCTTGAAAAGAAAACCTCAATATATTTTTATCAGTAATTTTTAACTTGCGAAATTTCTTTCATTTACTTATAGCCATCCAAACATTCACAACGAGCGTAATGCAAATCAGTTCGGTACCATGTTGTTTATTAAAGTATGCGAGATAGAAGCTTCTTCAAATTTCTTTTGCATGCACTTTGCTTCTTGTTAGTTTTTTGGTAAATCGAGAATCTTCGCTCGCGTATCGGCATTGAAACATCTCTTGTAGTTATACTAACAGAAATTTTTATTGTTTTTGTGATTCTCTACTGATGTCAATACTATGAAAGTGATCGCTGGTAGGGGAGTGAAATTGTCCACTACAACTTTTGCGTACAGATGGGCATTACTTTGTTTATCGTATAGTCACGTCTAGGAGCATTCAAAACCCACTTATCAAGAGTAGACAATTACTTGTATTCTGCAGCTTTAATTCGGTCTACGTGGTGGAGTAGGGAAAGGGCCTTGACTAACATCTCAATAGTCATGGGTTCAAATCTCAAATTTGGTAGAGTTTTGATTTTAGGGTTTTATGACTTTGGTCTTAGAATTTATTTCTTCGGCTAATATTTACTCGCAATGATTGATAATACAACTGCAAGCAATACATTAAATACTACACTAAAGCACGGAACCGTCTTTATTACGCTCATATAATCTCAAAAGTTTGCCAAAAAAAAGTTTAGTCTTCAACATTTTCTTACCAATCCAGAGAAGATCCAACTCTAAAAATGAACTAAATAGAGGCCGTGGCTCTCCCACGGTCAGTTAAATATTAGGGAATTTTCGATTAAGAGTGTTAAGGCCGCCCATTCATATATTTAGGCGTCCTTCTCTTAACGAGGTATATGCAAAGCACGCTTTCCATACAAAAAATTAAAGGTATTGATGCAGTGCAGTACGAAACAACCATGCTACGCGGGGACGCCTGTGTATGCAACACCAAGTGTAGTAGTATATTGCGTCAAGGGAAAAGTTCTTAGTAGCTGCCATTCATAACGTAACACCTATGAAAAGTAAGGCTTCATAGTTAGGTAAAAGAAAGCTTTATGGGTGGGTTGTTAAGTCGATAGTCGCAAGTAACTGAGATTTGGAAATTCAAAAAAAGTTTTCTTTATCTTATTACTACTTTAGCACTCCGACGGTAAGGCTTCGCAAGCTTGAGATAAAGTTCGTGGTGTTCGCGCGACAACATTCCACCAAAATCGGGGAGACGCATATGGCTTGCTTGCTTCCGCCCAGAAAGTTTCGCCGCTAAAAGCGTGCTGCCCTATAATGGACTAATCGTTAGTAAAGTCGATTTATGGCCCTCGTTAGGGAGCAAACTCGATATCGAATTTGCATTTTCAGTTAATGGTTCTCGTTGACAAGCCTTCGTTCACGATAATTGAGCCGATAGCGTTATACACACAGATGGCGCAGCATTTTATGCACACACGAGAAGCAATCGAATACCGTCAAGTCAGCATGCGATCGTATAGTTTTTCTCTTTCATATTGTACGATAGCTAGATAGCGAGGATCGTAAACCGGCCCCAGCACATTTTACTGGACTGCGCAAGATTAGTTTTAAATTAGTATTCTAGTATTAACAAGGAAAAAATTAATCCACTAAATTTCTATTTACGAGTCACGATAAAGAACGAAAAAGGGGTCGTTCAAGATGGATGAAAATGCACAAATGAATTCTATCAATTTTCAAAAAGTTCGTCTGATAATTACCCGTATTCGATAATTTCGTTTGATATTTTTCTGTCCTTCTCTGAAGAAGAAATATTTATAGTACTGTGAACTTTGAAATCTTTTAACTGCCCTATCCTGATGGTCGTCCATCTGCTATTCTCCAACACGGTGCTGATCTGCTATGTTCTCCCCTTACACATATTTGTAATGTTTGTTTAGAGAAACTTCACTTCCCGTCGGTTTGGAAGAGTGGATTTATATTTCCTTTTTTAATAAAAGCGGTTCTGTGGAAACTTGGGGAACTATGGGAATTGCGAAATTTACTTTAGTGCGCTGCGTAAACTATTGGAATGACTGGTATCAAAAAGACTTACTCCAATTTTACGATCAATTATATCATTCTGTTAGCATGGTTTTTTAAAGGGTAGGTCAACTGCCACTGATCTTCTAGAGTTTTGTTGCCCAATCTCTAAAGCATTTTCCAATCACAAACAGACTGACGTTACTTTCACGGACTTTTTCAAAGCTTTCGACAAAGTTGATCATAGGCTGTTAGTCTATAAATTGCATTGCCTTGGTTGTTCGGAAAGTTTGATTGTCTGGTTCAGTATCTATTTCTCTCGGCCTACCCAACGGCTGATGGTGAATTCCTGCGTATCTAGAGTAATTGCCGTCACTTCCGGTATTTCTCAGCGCAGTCATCTTGGTCCGCTTTTACTTATTTCATATGTGAATGACCTTTCTGAGTGTATTCCACATTGCCGGGTTTTAATGTTTGCAGGCGACGTTAGACATTCGTGGTACTAAACATCTTCAGTCTGAATTTGGGCACCTGTGTTTATTAAATATAAGAAGACGTCGTTCGCGTGATGTAAGACGTTGTCCTCTTGTTATCGTGTTGACAATCACGTCCTGGAAAAGGTTTGTAATTATAAAGAAGTTTTTTCGACTCAAAACTTTTATTAGGTGTAACCTTCGCCTTTAAGCTAATGAAAGGAGTTGTTTTTTCGCCGGCTTTATTAGAACTTTTCAGTAGTATTAGTATTCACAGTAGGGTCACCTGTGCTGTTGCAGGTACTACAACGCCGAATTAATTATGAGTTGCTTAATCCGTTTCGGGTAATATGTAAAATGTTCAACGTTCATTACCACTTACTTGATTTGTCCGTTAATAAGGTTAAAAGCATAATAATAAATTAACTAATTCTGCTAAACATATCCGAGTCTTGTAGAGTACACGTAAACTGACTCAAAACATTCCTTTGTGTGATTTTGTTTCTCCTTTGTCGCTATTAATAATGTATATATAAACAAATATTCAGTCATCAATACATGTCTCTGTATCGTAATTTGAGGCTTAGTCAAATGCCGGTATACATCATATGTTGATCTTATTTTTAATTGAATTTTTTTCTTTTTCTCTACACTACATTTTAAGTTATTTTGTAGTTTAAATTCGGCTAATGATTTGTTCTGTAGCGGAATTTAATTAATTAACTAAATAATCATTTTCAAACATTGTTGAGTCCTGTTCTGACTGATTAAGTCAAGTCGTAAAATAATCTTGAAGGAGGCAAACGAAAATGGCGGGCTTTTGTTTATGGACATATTTTATATTTACTCACACTGTCCTCAAAAAGAATGCGTTCAAATTCCTAAAAATTGCATATATTCTAGGACAGCGCAAGACTCCGAACTATACCTATATGTCTATGTATTTCCGGGTCTGGGCATGCATCATCCGTCTATTATTCGAAAGTTGCCAAACTTAAAGAAAGTTTTAGAATCTTAGGGATACACACCTTAGGTAATGTTTACAGATTGATATTGAGGATGAACGTGCTTCGTGGGTTATGGCAACGTAATGGGTAAAAATCCATAATTTTAAAGCAAATATTGACCTCACACTTGATATATGCATTTATGAGAAACTACCTCAAACTGCAGTGAAGGAATGATCATTAATAATGTATCGATAATAATGTTAACTACGTAACAATCGCCTCAATTGACGAGCCCGTATGTGTACATTTATTAGAATATTTCAGTCTAAGCTTGTCTGTCCATTCGTCTGTATGTCTTGTTCTCTTTGGTTTTAGATATTTTGATGAAATTCGATAACATACGTTGTTTGGAAAATGATTTCTATCGGATCATTTCTTCAACCTCTTCCCATATAAAACCTTATTGGGAAAGATCGTTATATGAGATAAACCCATTTTTATTATATCGATTCAGAATCACTTTTCGAATCGATTTAATCTTGTTCGAGTGTATATCCATCGTGTTTTCTCTGGTTTAATCTACAGCGCGCAATTGTTAAGATATTTTGATGAAATTTGGTAAACTGAGCCATTGAAAATTTTTGGTATTGGGCCAGTTTTCGGAACACCTCGTATATAACGCTGCCTAGTTCCTCTATTTAAAAAGAAAATACCTTTGATGGGTAAAAAAATTATTGTTAAGATAATTAAATTTCTACGCGTCTCTTTGTGAGGAAAAGAGAAATCTTTATAAATTCGTGCAAACGCGGAGCGAAAATCGTAGATTATTTGAAGCGAAACCCATTTAACGAATTGAGAAAACCGCTCAAAGTATCCGCCAGGTGAAAAATATGCCAAATCTATCCTAGATTGCTTGTAATAAAACAGTGGCGAACAGTTAGGTCAACTATTTGCCAGAAATTTTTATGAGCAGAATACGAAGTTATTTTAACATAATAAGAAAAAAAATTTTAATACGAATCTACCGGCAACATGATCCTAGATATTCGGTTTAAATAGTAGCATCGCAAGTTTTCCTTTAAACTAAGTCAAGAAATATATCCACAGCCAATAAGAATTTTTATGCTACATTAGTTTGCTATATACATTTTTACCGATAAAATTTTAATATAAATTCGTACGCATACTTTGTGGAAGCAATGTATATAAGGCGAAGTGTTGAGTAATCTCCTTTGCTATTCAAGTGTTTTTAATGTTCTTACATACACATGCATATAAAAATAATTTATGCGAATCGGTTGATATGAGGAGCGTGTTCTCTCTATTAAAGAAAGAAACAAAGCGGAAAAGACATTAAAGTAAAAAATCAATATTTTCACATAGAAGACTAACGTGGGGACTTGCGGTAAACTTAACCTACAATAAAATGCATGTCTTTATTTCTAAGGCTTCTGTCAAATAAGAAATAAGGAAAAACCATGCCGATAAATTTATCTCTAATACCAAAGACTAATTAGTAACGTGAACGGCACCAAAGCACATCACACACCATAACACAAATATGAATATTAAGAATTTATTATTGTTCGGGCTTTCTCTGCTGCATTGTTTAGCAGTAGAGGGCTTAAGTTTTACTGTTACATCCAAAATTTATATGGATGTTAAACACCAAAAGAAATCATTAGGTCGCATTGTATTCGGTTTATTTGGTAAGAATTCCCCAAAAACTGTGACAAATTTTCGGCATATATGCTTGCGGGGCATAAATGGTTCCACATATGTGGGCTCCAATTTTCATCGTGTCATAAATCGTTTCCTTATACAAGGCGGTGATATTATTAACGGCGACGGTACCGGTTCTACGAGCATATATGGAGATTATTTTGAAGATGAAGACATAGAAATTGAACATAATCGTCCCGGTTATTTGGGGATGGCTAATCGGGGACCAGACACAAATGGCTGTCAATTCTATGTGACAACAGTAGCTGCACAGTGGTTGAATGGCAAACATACAGTTTTTGGCAAAGTTTTAGAAGGCATAGACACGATATATGCCATAGAAGATGTGAGTTATATTTTGTGATCGAAGAAAAATTTAAAAAAAAACCAATTGAAACATCCATACTCGTTTTGAGGCAAATTACTAATACTCACTCACTATTTGAGGTAATTAAATTGAATTGTGAAGAACACTTCTCTTACTCAAAATTTGTATTGTATTGTTTTTGCAAAGTGATTGACATCTACTGCAAGCGCGATTCAGACAGTTTCGACAATTTTTAAAATCAATAGTCAATTTTTTTCCTCTCTCCATCTCCAAAATTAAATCTTTTTTGTTCGTCAATATTTGACTTTACAAAAATGTACAAAAATTTGCAGAGAAGTTGTTGACCGTGTAAATGATTTTCGAGCGATATATCGCATGGATACCTATTGTGAGTGGCAAAGAGAGTGCGAAAAAAGACCCTGCAAAAAAAGAGTTAAATGGAATTTCACTTTAACGATGGTGCTTTCGTTCAAAATACGGTTTCTATCACCTTCAATTTTGCCGTGTCACTATACGACGACGACGTGATTCTCTGATGCGAACATCATAAAACTTGGAATGAGAAAAGAAACTACTACCAAGAAAATTGTATTCGGTCATGTCCAAAACTTTTATACCCCTCACCGCAAACCTGAAAAAGACGAAACAAGTAGAAGAATAAATTTTCATGCTCCGTAAAATATAGTGAGCGCGGTTGATTTTTTCTACTTCCAAAGTAAAGTTTTTGATTCATAGGCGTGCGGACGTTGTAGTCGTGTGCTTGGAAAAGTTTTGGTCACTTCAAAATTCCTTTGCAAATATGTAGGGGAACTTCATTTCGCTACAAATACTACACAGTTCCGCAGGCAAACAGAGGGAGAGACGAATAGACGGACATGCTTAGGTGCATTCAGAATTTGAAACTGGCGAAGAATTTACATACTTTACGGGGTTTTTCAAAGTGGTTTTTGCGTCTTTTAAACGGATTGAGGAAGAATTGAACTTTTATACCTTATAATATCGGATAAGCTTGGTCAAGTTTTTCCATTTTTCTACAGGCGCTATAGCATTGCCCATAGAATATGCGGTCAAATCGTTGTACACTTACCTGCTACAGTTTGTGAGTAATGAGCATTTTTTATTGCTTTTTAAAAGCGGAGGTGTTTTGAGTTTACGTGGCACTGTAGGCCTGTCCTTCGACCGGTTTAGCCACTTTTCAGTACCGTCCGCGTGCACATCTCTATCAAATTTGAAGTCGACAGTTGCACTTTTACAGCGAGAAGAATGTTTACAACAATCACCACGCGGACGGGCAGACGGACAGGTTTAAATCAATTCAGAATATGATGCCGATCGAGAATATATACAATTTCTGTAGTCTCTGACAAACAAACAAACAAACAAACATTAACATACCACTCAGCCTCTGGTGATGAGTATAAAAAAAATGAGTATTTTAAAGTATTTACCAGACTACAAAGCGCATGATCCCATCTACAATGAGAAAGCGATTGTTAATTATACCCCATAAGAGTTAGTACTAGCAAGAAGCATTTGTACAAAATTTTTTCCCATAAGAAATAAAAACTTGCTGTAGAAATGGTCGCGGTCGCCAGGCTAGTGCTTTGCAATTTCTACATATAGTTATGAAGTGAGCTCCAAAGATTGGTCTCAAAGCGAATATTTATTTATTTATTTCTAAATAAATTTACGTTTATTTCTTAAGGTGAAAACTGATACAGACGATGTTCCCTTGCACCCGGTCATCATAACTAATTGCGGGGAAATACCTACAGAACCATTCACATTTTATCCTGATGATTTCAAGTGAGTTCATTAAATTACTTAACGGTTATGGCGCAAGCCACTTATACACGATGTTGTCATTTTTCAGCGTTTGGGGTTGGATTAAAGCAGCCGGAATACCAGTCTGCAGTTCGTTTTTAATTTTAATAACATTTCATTATTTCTTTCGCCAATTGGATATGTATTGTTAGTTGCGGTAAAAGAACCAATCAAAAAGTTTATTAAACAATTATAAAGTTTTCTTTTTATTTTTTTTTTGTTATGAATTAAAAACAAATTAGTTTTTTTTTTTTTTTGTAAATGAATTCTAGTCACTAAATTCTTCGTCAGATTTATGATAATTTTTCAAAAGTCCGCGCATTAATATTGGTAAAGTGGGACCCATATGGACCTGTGAAAGATGCGATGAATTTGGAAAGGACGAACAGAAGTAAACTCTTCATTCATACTAACATCGATATATAAAAAATCTTCAAAAATTTGTTCGGGCTGAAAGTAAATCGCCTCCGGTTTGAATAGCACCACTACATTGATTTTGGTTCCTGAAAAATTATATTTGCATGTCGTGAATATCTTACAGTGGGTGAAATGGTGTTTTTGCTCCATATAAAGGGATTTATTTAAACTGTTATAGTAATTCTTAATGCATTGTATTTCCAGTGTCTTCACATTCCTTTGGTGTCGATACTTCCGAGACACATCAAAGGAATGAGCATGTTTTACTCTGGGATTTGCTTTAGCATCTAGTAGACGTTCACCTCTATTCCGATACGGTTTGTCTAGACAGATAGGCTTATTTTCACAACGATAATACATGAAGTCTTTATCGCCGGTGCTGTAGATTCATATATATTATTATTCTTATTAATTTTGTTGTTGTGAATGGAGAACTTACTTTTCTTCAAGTTCAAAATCAACCACTAGCCCAGGTATTTTCAAAGCAGTTCTAGCCGAGGCAATTAGCTTGCCCGGACCATAAAATTCCAACCCGAGTTTAACTTTACGGTATTGATTGAGATGCAAATCACCCAAATCTAAAATTCTCTCTCTCAATTCGAATGGTAGAGGTTGTGTGGTGAAACTTTTCAAGTTTGGCGGCAGTTTCTCTTTATAAGTGTTCCGGGAAATTAAATAATTTTGATAGACATTTTTCAGCATCACACAGGTTTCCTTACTGTAGCGCAATCTATTTAAAAACTTTTCCGTCTCCAGTAGCTGATCCAATATGGTATTATTGGGTAACTCTTCATTGTTATTTATCAACACATACTCTTGTAATATAAAGTACATGGCTTTCTCTTCTTCAGTCACCCATTCACGTTCCCATTCCACTGCTTGCGACGATGAAGTAAGAACAATACCACCTTCCTCTTCCGCATTTCCATCTAAATCCTCATCTTGGATAGTAATTGCTTTGAAAATTTCAAAAGAATATATTTTTCTTAGTAACTCGTACTCTTCGATTATCTCCAGTTGATGTTGTTCTACGAATTCTATATCGCGCTTGATAATTGCCAACATCGGCAAGACTCCATGTCCTTTTACACGTAGTAAAATTTCTTCACCATTATTGATAACAATTTTGAAGTCTCTGGCAAACTCTTCGCTAAAGCCTAAAACGCCTTCAACTTTGATAGGAGCACTCTCGAAAGCTGGTATGCGAATATCGCACTTGGTAATTATTTGGGCATAACCTGCTGCAATTTTGGGCAAACCCTCATCTGGTCTCTGGGAAGCTTCAATCCTTAGCACAATTTCATAATTTGTCACATTCTCGGCAGTAAAGGTTGCTTTATAGGTTTCGTACCACGGCTTTATATAAAAGATATTCACTCAAATAATTATTTTTGAACGACTTTTAAGATTGATCGAGAGTGATTATTAACGCACCTTTAATCCCAAATGAATACTGTCCTTACTTAAATGCAGAGTTTTTTCCAAATTAACTAAAGTTATTTGAAAGGATTTACTCTGGCCGCCAACTACGTCCAATTGGAAATTTGCTCGTACCTCAAAGCCTATTAAAAGGTGAGAGTCATTCCTCTCTGTTCATTTGCCCCGCTTTACATAATTCACTTACCTTTTCTTACCGGAGGCAAATGCAAGGCGCACATCTCTTTCTGATTCTCTGCCAACATACCGAATTTCTCAAGGAAGTATATGGAGCGTGCTAATTCGCAAGTTTCAGTGCTTGGTTGCGAAATGCTATAACTATCTTCCAATTTCAAATGATCCAAAATATGATCTACAGTCTGATAGACGCAAGTCTGCTTCGAGGTACCCGCAGAAGCGCCCATTGATGGCTCTATATCGAAACGTTTATTAAAAAATAACACTTGTCCGTCCAAGTTTTTTTCAACAAATTTTAAGTTCGCTTCTATAGAACTGGGATCTGTTTCTAAAGCCGTATCGATAGTATTTTCAATTAGAGTTGTCAATTGCATAGAAGGTTCCAAGCTTAATTTGCCCTTGTACGCGTGCAAATTTTGCAAATTCTCGTATTCAGAATCAATTGTCGGTTTTTGCAAGTCTTCTGGCAGTATGTAGTGTTCAGGCATCTCATCGTCTTTACGCTCTTCGACTAATGGCGGTTCTGGTTCAACCCAATCCAATTTATAACGTTTATGCGATAAGTCTAAATTCTCAATCAGCTCATAAACGATGCCTTTTATATTCATCGGATCATATTCGATTTTTTTCAAAAGACAACGATATTTTTGATAGCGAAGTGTCAAATTTTTTTCAGAGTCATTTTCAAGATTTTGCGGCAGTATGTTTAACATAAGCAAGATATCGGATAAGACCAGTTCCGCCGTTTGTTCAACATCGTCTTCCTACGGTTGTAAGTGAATAGACTTAATAATCATTTCATTACTTGTACGTCTGCATTTATTATTATTTTTTATTAACGCAGTAACGGTTACAAGGAAGATAAAGATACTCTCACTATAATAACAACGGCCAAAGTGAACTCTGCCGCACTTGAGATTTGAACCGATGAACTGTGACTTAGCAGTTGCGATTCTCATCTGCTACACTACTCATAGCTGTCACCGAGAAAGAGTTGGAAAAGTAATTCGTCATTCGGTTTTGAACTCTCGAAATATGTATCTCTCAAATGATGCCTGTCGAAATTTCAATATCGTTTCGATCATTTGTTTATAAGTTACTGAGGTTTCAATACCGATATTCTTCCTACTTTCAAAACTTCGAAAACTTCCAAACTCGCCGTAGGCCTAAAAAGTATCATACAGCGATTCGTCATTCCAAACGCAGTGGACGCCAAAAGTAGTTTACACAAGAAAATGTCAAAACAAATGTTGAAAATTTTCGGTACCCGAAACATGGCTCCGCCCCTAAATTTGTCAAAAAGCAAAGTGTTCACTACTTGGTACGAAAATTTGAGCATGAACATCCTGTTTCCTATACAGATACCGCGTTTACTCACCGTGAAATGTATGTATTGCCATGTAAAAAAAAAAAATCCTATAAGTAGGCAAAATGATATGAGCTGAAGATCGAATTACTACCACATCCTCCATTGTCGCCAATTCTGGCCCCATCTGTAATTGGTTTTTTTCAAAATCCCAAATGATGCTCCAGGGAAAAAGATCCTGATTGAATAATGAGGTCAAATAGGCAAATAGGCTCACAAAAACACGAAACGATTTGTTAGGGAAGCCTTCTACTGATTTTATCAATCTTGAAGAAGACAATGAGTTTTGGAAAAAGTAATGATTTGAATGGACAAAGTTTTAGATATTGGGTCGATGGAATGCAAAGTGAACTGCTGACTAGACATCCGCGATCATAAGGTATTCCTTCACTTAAATTTCCCCTCACTTCATAGTTTCTATGGATGCGTGACAAAGTATAGACCGATAGGCTTTAACATTCATAAAAAAATGCGAACATTTTATGCGATTTTCAAAACGTGCAATTAAGGAGAAAATACTCGTTAAAGAACGTCGAAGAATAACCCGCATGCTTAAGTGGATGATATTTTATACTCGCTAAAGGTTTTTTTAATTAATTTATTTTCATCTTAATATAACTTCTATCTTTCTCTCTCAATCTTTTAGAATTACCTCGCGTATATAATGCCATTCTTCGTGTAATTTCTTCCATTTGTATATAGCTTTCAGCGGTTTAACGTTAAGGATAGGGATATATGTAATAGCCTCGCGATTTTGGCTAAATAAAGTGATGTCATCATATGCAAGATTTAATTCTGGTGAAAAAATTTTAACTCGAAGGTACACAGATTTCTAAAATATGAAATAACAGATTATGTAAGAGTAAAGTTATTAATTTTAATTATCTGTGACCTGCGGTCTCCCATTAACTACACTTTGTATGCGACCTTCATATAGAGCGCCTTTATGGTCCTTTAACATTTCTTTATCCAGTATGACGAAAAATTCTTTAGTCTCTTTTCCGCTCATACTGAACATCAATTCACTTTTATCCGTCCCCTCAAAACGATGCCTAATCTTAAAAGGTCCCAACATTTTCAGAAAAACCGATAATAGAAAGTTTTCAGCCGCATTTGTAAGATAAATTATTTCTATTGGAAATGTTGAAAATTCATTGGAATCAATCCTAAGATGAATGCGAAAAATTTTGTATACCCCATTGCTGAAAGTCCTTATGTTTGTGAGTTTTATAGTATTTAAAGGTGATGTCCCGTCTACTCCATAAGACCTGCGGATGTATGAAGCTGGCACGTACAGTTACACGTTTGGTTTCTACTCTTTTTGGATCCGTTAGATCGACTATCGTAAGACGAAATTCATGAAAAATACTTGTTTCGTCGCAAGCTCGCGTCCATATAGTCAACTCTTTAACGCTAAGTGCTTCGATTGTCATAACCAAGGGATCTATATTGATATTAGCACGAAGCGATTTCTTTACAGCACAGCCCTTCGTTTCTGATGCCTTAAGCATTTTAATGATCAGACGATATTGACGTTCACCATAATTGATGATTTTAATCGTTTTACTGAAGTTCGGTTGCGAATCTATATACTCGTCTTCGGTACTGCAAATGATAATGCCGAAATTCAATTCGCCGCCGCAAATATCCGGTTCAAAACGAATCGGCATACCGTTAACGTTTAGCGTGATTGGTATTCTCTAAAAATGTTTAATACAATGATCAAGATTTCGGTTGAGATTTGTAAGCAGGCGCGCCACACAATAGAAACATACCACAATTTTCTTAAATTCCAATCGAATAAGCAGACAATTGTGGTATATGCCTGGATCACGAAAATATATTCTTAAAGTTAAATAGGTACTCTGGCCTTTAGGTGAAAGTTGAGCGCCCGACGGCTCCACCTGGATGCATTCATCGACTTTCTGAGAGAGCAAAAAATTTTTGATTAAAACAAGTCCGCACTTGAATTAATCGGTCAGTTAAGTGTTTACCATTTCAGCTCCTAACCAAGTGCAGGTTGGCGTATCATTGTGTACGAAAATGTAGACAAGTTCTTCTTTTAAAACGGTCATGTTTTTCGTTATTTGCGTAGGCTCTGTCTTAATGTTACTCGGTAATACCATAGCATTCACATGGAATGGATAACCGACTTGCACGCCCACAAATTTAATACTAATAATGATAGATGAGTAAGAAATGCGAAAGTTTACAAGCCAAGCAGTATGCATTGTCTTATTGCAAACTTACATGCCTGAGAGAGAGACTGCACCGACAGTACCGAACCTGACCATACAAGGAACTGTAATCATACTTTGTGGTTCAATAAAATATTTCCATTTGCTGTTTAAAAATGTCATTGTGCCATGCCTGCTGTCGGGCTATAGATATATATATATAGAGAGAAAAAATTTAAATAGTGTGACAAATACATGCTGTGCTATATGTTTTCAAACATATTTACCACAACGTCATAGTAAAAGAATCCTCCAATGTCGTCGTTGTTCTCAAACGTCATGGCAAAATCATAAAATTCACCCACATATAAACGCTCCTCCATATTGATAATATTATCCCAAGTTATTTCGGGCACAGCACATGTATATTCAATTGGAATGCGTGCCTCCATATAACTGGAGTCAACATATCGATGCGAATCCTCAGGATCGTCGTCTAAAACGGGCAAAGGCTCAGGACATACTCGCACCGAAATAAAACGTTGACGAAATCCGACGATATTCGGTATAATGACTACACTCATCGCTTTGCCGGTGTTTGGACTAAGATAGAGTATCTCTTCAGAAACATAAATTTCACGCGGATCATTGGCTACAGCATTCCAATCCATGTGTACATAGTTTTTATTTTTATCCATACCTTGAAAATAAGGCATGGCTAACAAGACATTTAAAACCTCATCTAAAATGAATTTCTCTGCGTCCGCTTTTTGGAAAATTTTGCCGCCGCGCATTTTCTTAACGAAATCCGGAGCTGCTTGTGGTATTTCTTCTAAAATGTAGAATAAAAAATTCTCATCAGTTGTTATGAATAGCAGATAATTAAGAATAATTTATTTCTAATCGATATTTTTCTTTGCCTAATTGCGACAATATTTTGCTCTACAAGCATGAATTGTCTTGCAAGTCCACATTGCAGCGGTACGTACCGGGAGCTATACAAAAAATATTCGCGAATGCCATAAACAATCGACCCGAGTTTATCTCGCTTAAACGAGAACATCCATCATGAGTTCATTTGGACAAAAACAAAAGCTCGGTATCAAATTATTCGCTCCCGCCAAGATAAAGAATCTGTTTGCAATTATTATTTGGAGCAATTCAATTACACTTGTGGTAGACCCGTCTTTGTCTATGACGTTTGTCTATTCGTCTGTCCGCATTGCTTTCTTCCATTCCACCTCCTAGCCGCAATTTTTAAGAAATTTGGTCCGCAGACGAGTGTTGGCTCAACCCCGAACACTATTAAAAATGCTTCGGATCGGAACACTTTTTCAGCACGTTCCAATATAACGATTTATTTTAAAAAGTCGTTACATAAACAACTGGATGGCGATGTAGACCAGTTAATGGAGGGCCGTGGCCTGCTTTAGATTTTTTTTGGGTTTTTTTTTTTTCATATTAAAATCGTCGAATCAACTTCAAAGATTAGTGAAATCCGATTAAATATTGAGTCGTAATTAAAACACAGTATTACAAGGGACAAGGTGAGTACGGTCTTTCTCGTTTCCAATTGACGTAGATTACGCACATTTACATTCCTTTCTTAAATTGGATACTCGTATTATGCCATATTAATGGTTACCTAAGCTGGTTATCGGAAGGCCAATAGGTTCACAGACTAACAGAGTTTGGCACGAGTTTAGTAGCCACCATGAACGGCGAATTGCTGACTATCTTCGGGAGAATCCTAACTCCCACTCTCATAACAAGAACGAAACACACCCGCACGCACATATATACGCACATATATATACATATAAAATCCGTATAACTTGTTTACTCTAACAATAAAATTTTGTAGACTACGGCAAGATAAAGCCAATTTTTTCGTTCCGGATGACAGATTGTTAGTTAACTTACCTAAAAGAGTATCTTCAAATGCAACACTAATTGAAGAACTGTCCTCCTGTACGGAGCGAACGGTGAGACCTGAAGTCGGTGTACCTGCATCATCTCGTACCACGATATCACTGATTTCGGGCATAGGTTTTCTTTCTTCTTCGACACAAACACGCATATGTTCAATAGGATCTAATACATCGATCGGTAAATGTTCATTGACGTCTTGTATATTTAGCACTAAGGGGACTTCGGTGCCATCATCTTTGATGGAAAATTGCACCGTTATTGGCACTGAGATAGGATTTAAAATCATAATTAAACGCCGCTGTGGTACCGCGACTGGTAGCAGACCTAAGCTTAGCATTTCTGGAAAAGCTCTGCAATAAACTTTGCGCGAGGTTCCTCTAAAGAAAATAAAAACAAAAAGAGTCAATCACAAATCCCCGAATGAACGCCCTAGTCCCAATTTACTTTATAAAGGCCGCAAACAATCCGCCGTATTTAACTTTGAATTCAAATTTCACTACAAATTTTCCAATTGATGTAGCGAAAAATTGTATATGAAATAGACCACGTTGACAGGGTGTCAAATGAAAGCCTTCAGCCGGTGTTATAGTAACATTAGCAATATCGGAAGTTCGGCAGCCATAATATGATACCTCGAGATCATTATAGCCTTTAATTTAAAACGTAAAAATTGGACTCGGTAATCGTATTGCCAAAAGCATTTCAGTATACATACCGTCAGTGTTAATGACTTTAATTTGCGCACAATGCTCTTCCCCGAAATACACAGTTGGCAAATGAATTGTCTTTGGTATTATGTCTATTGTCGGACCTATAATCAATCCATGCAGATTTAAAATTTCGGATTTTTTAAAATATTCATCTGATAGCTCTATGACAATATTTGCCGACACCTTATATGGCGGCATAAGTTCGTCGGGAACTTCGAAGTCTTCGTGAACTATGGGTCGAAAAGTGATCGTGAATTTCACGCCCGAATTACTCGGTATATTTGTATTGGTCGCTAGAATGGTAAAATGTCTATAGGCGTGTGGATCTGAATTTTCTGGTACAATGTCTCCCTCAACTTCGTTATACATTTTCGTTACGGAAACAACGTGTTCATCTTCTTCCTGTGCGCTTAAAAAACGAACATTGAAATCGATAAGAATGTTCGATTCATTGCAAACATGTATAGTCTTCCTCTCTTCTCGGGTAAATTTTAAGGCGCTGTATGACAAATTCAAACGATCAAAATAAATCGAAAATCTTGTAGGCTCATGTCCGTAGTCTATTTTGGCAGTTGGTTCTATGTTAAAAGTAAAGACATCTTGAAAATTTTGTTTACATGTATATCCGCTAGCCAAGCTTACCGTTTTCAATCTTTATTTTAAAGGAACCTTCCTCCCTTTCATAGCAACGTACTTTCAGTTTTAGCAGGATCTTTAAATAACCATTTTTAGGAATTTTGCTGGCGGAGGTCGACATCACTTTTATCTTTGCTCCAAAGCTACGTAAGATTAAGGGAAATTTAAATCTAATAAGACGTAGAAGTAAGATAACAACTTACCTTTGAACGAGGTATTTTAACTTTTCGAGGGTTTTGTTATATAAAATCAATTCATAAAACGTCTCATTGACAGGGCAAGTGGCTGGAAAAATAATCTTTTCCGGTGTAGATATATCCGCTTCCCTTTTCAATACAATTATGGGTATTTCAAATGTTACATTCGGGTGGACAGCGTGTATGTAGACATAGTAACGGCAATATTTTGGCCTCTTCGGCTGTATAGTTATTATCAGTTGTACCGCTGTATCATAATCGAGGAAATTGTCAAAGAGTTTCTCGGGCAAAGTTTGTAATGTTATATCGCTCGAGTCGGTCGCGTAGTGTAAGAGGCGAGCATGCTGTATCAAGAAGGCGAAGTAAATAAAAAGCTCCCAATTGCCTAAACTAAGGGTTAAAATGTACTTACAAGGCCATTATTTTTAATGCGTATAATCTTTTCGTAGCGAGTATGGACCTTGGGTTTGTGACGCAACACCAGCACTCTCGGTGTAATTTCCAAAGTATCAACTAGTGAAGCCTTATCATTGACATAATCTATTTTAAAAAGCGTTCAATTTCAATGTATTCAATGATTGGAAAAGAATATAAAGAAAACGAAAAGTCAAGATTTTTCTTCTTTTTCCAAAAGGAGATTGACTTTTCCTATCTATAAGGACTTACATTGCTTTGTGGGACAGCAATATATTTTCGCACTTCTCGTTGGATGACATACATGCTTTTTGCTGTGTATGTAACTATTGGCACGGCGACGTCTTTGCATGCTGTAAAAATTTGTGTGTGGTTATGTGAAAATTGTATATATTATTTAATATGTGCTTTTAATTGTATTCATATTTTTTTATATTTTTTCGATGCTCGTATTGATTGACAATAATAAAAAAAAAGAAAAACAGAAAAATAAAAGAAAACTAGATGCATATCCAACTTTGAGGAAATACATTTTTGGATATACGCAGCGCCTACGCGAGTAGTATTCAAATAAATTACTTCACGATCTAAGCTCTATTAAAAGTGTTAAGGCAGGAAGTGCAAGCTGGAAAGCGTTATTTGCTCTTTTACTTTACTACGTCCTCTCAAGCAAATGGTACATTCAAAATCGCGCTTAACCGGTCTAAGGAAGTAAAAGATATAATTTGGTGTATTATTAAGCTAGTGGGACCGAGAAATAATAAGGAAAAAGCGGCCCGTTTATGGTTTTCGTGTGTTGTTATCGTCACTTGAATACGTTCCTCGGCGGTAATTTTTGAAACATTTTTCATTCCAAAGTAAGGAAAATCTATACTTTACCGACAACTGTAAAACTGTAAACTCCATAGTCCACAGTTGCCGAGTCTACTGGACATCGGGTACGATAAAAAAGGCATAGTTTATCAACAGCTATAGCAGCAGAATCCATAATCAACAGCTATCGAATCTTGTCGATAGCTCTCTCGATATCGGGGACTATAAAGCAGTCTCGGCGTAGGATAATGATAAAAAATAATAGATAAAAAATTAAAGCCGCGAAAGAACTTTTCTCAGTTAAGTTTGAACAATTACCAAAACCATTTCGCCTATGATTTTTAGCCACTTGAGTTCATTTCCATCTATCTATCGCTCCAATTATTACTTCATTTACATTCCATTTTTGCTTCACGAAATATAGTCAATGAAATCGAGTATATATTGAGCCACCAACTCAAAATCACTTCTCATTTTGATTTCACTTACATTTTATGTGGGCAGAGGATGGCAGTATTAAGCTAGGATAAGGCATATAGGAGCTTCTTTAATTCTTAACGCAACACAATCTTTGGGAATATATCCTATGTGTAAAACGGTAAAACGCTCTCATTCTTACCGCATGTTTATTTTATACGTGTAACACGGTAATGATTAGAAAAAATTGACGGAGTGGTGGCAGCTTAATAAACGTATGCAACCGGAGAACAATAATTTGGTAGTTGAGATTCTTATTGGGTCGGGTTCTAAGGTGGCAAATTGGTATTAGGTTAGAATTAAGGAAACAAGACGAACGTATGGCGTTCCGGATGAAAACGACTGTATTCAACCAACTCCAACTTCAAAAGAAGTAATATAAGTAAGTGGGTTAAAATTAAATGAAAGTCAAGTAAAGAGAAGTGATGTGCTTGAGTGAATGATTAATCACGAGGGACTGGAGGGGATACCAATCTTTCCCGTACGATACAAATCTTCTTTCCGAATTCACTGAAGTTAATTTCTATGTCAAATTATTCTTATGGACCAGTTTTTTAGAATATTAAAAACTGATCATTTTGCCGTATACAGACTTACTAATTAAGGAAAAAATTGTTCCACCAAATTTAAATTTGCGGCGTTACTTATATGTGCCGAAATGTGATGTTAAGTGACCGCAGGAGTAGCGGGGCCGATGCTTGAGGCACACCCCCACCAATTTCCATTGCTTTCTCGTTCGAAATTTTTTAAAATATCCTTTAATTAACGTTTATTTAGAATAAAGAAACAATTTTTACAATATCATTTGAAAGAGATAAGTTAATAAGAACTTTATTTATTAACAAAAAGTCAATGTCGTTCGTCTGTATTATCAAAAATTGTCTTAAAAAAATTTTTTAACTTGGAATGTTTTTTGAATTGCCCATTAAAATATTGCCGCGTATTCAAGCTTCGTTCCGTTTCGTGGATGTGATGATTAAAAATATATAATATTCAAATTATTAGCTAGAAGTAATTCAATAAACATATGCAACAGCAATTAAAAAATGGTATTTAATATTATAAATCTCTTTTCTCAGAGTATTCCACAATGCCCACTTTTCTGGATTTTGTTGAAAATAAACATCAAGCTCAGAGCATTCCACGATGCTCATGCGTGGCTTTTTTAATAATTCTGCTTTAAAATTTTGAAACAATGGGAAAAGGAATAACGTATAAAACTAACTGTTATACAATAGCCAAATACAGCGAAAGATTACTAATTTTGGTGAGAAAAAACTGGTAACATTGCTTATTATTTATGTTCAATCATATGATTATTCAAATTCATATATAATATATTTTCCTTATTAGTTTTGCTTGATTTCTTAAATTTTATATATATATATATTAATGAAAATCTCTTCTAATAGTTATATTTTTACCTGATTATGACTACGCTTAATGCTTATACCTACCTAAATATTGGTAATTGAGTCACAATGAAGCACCTACCTAAATATTGGTAATTGAGTCACAATAAAGCACATATTGTAAACTTTCACAGCGAATAAAAAAACCCAATAAAACCCCCAAAGAAATTTGGCAACACTGTCGCAAGCGCTTATAAAATTAGTATCGAAACATATGGAATGGGAAAAGTATATAAAGATTATATACAATAAAGTCTTTCAAGATTTTTGCAGAATATTTTTGATTGGGGTATTTGTTAATTAAAATATAAAATTGAGGTGTAGTTTAATTGAGATTTTTCAAAGTTTGTAACTAGACAGTATGACACAACTTATAAAAAGAGGTAAAAGTGCGAGTAATATCAAAAAAATTGTGTAATCTCAATCAGAATTTTCATATTCGTTTAGATATTTTGCAATTAGTGCGGCATGCACCTCTATTGCAATTTCAACGTTTTCGAGGTAAAATAAATATACAAAGGCCGCGTAAACCGCATTATGACAGAGCCTTAGTGGCAGCTGTAACTCAACCTCAATATCCGAAGCCGAACAAGACAAACACCTGTTTTGAGAAACGCTATACCAATGCTCAAATAGATAATCCTTATAATGACATTATAGCTCGAGAAGTACGTAATTGGTTCGATCATTCAAGTATGGTGGGCATTTTCCATCTAAATTCAATGAAGGCGGAGGATTTCTTTGATGTCCGTGTCCAGTTGCATAAACAAGGAATGCATCTCAAAAGCTACGGACAGAAAATCATTAATAAAGCAATTAAAGATTCCCGTTATGAAGCCATTCTTCCACTCTTCGATTCTAGTCATTGTATAGTATTCGCCCCGCATCAAAAGGTTGGTTTGTTGCTACGGACTACGCGGAAAGTACCTCAAATGGTGCTATTGGCCGGTATGGTCGATAATACCTTGCTGAGTCGTAAAGACTTTATCGCATACGCTCAACTCCCTGGCATACAAGCAGCGCAAGCTGAACTAGTCAACACGTTAAATATATCCGCCCGTTCCGTGGTACAAAATCTTGAAACACACCAAAACAACTTTGTTAATATTTTGGAACATTATGCAAAATGTGACGAAAACAAGAAGTAAAGCATTTTTTCATTTTTTAATAGTCACATGGACTAGAAAATAAATTCTCGCGCTGTCAACTTCAGTGAAGTAGGATAATTTTTTTTTTGTTAAAATCACATAAATTAAGGCTAAAATTCCGTGTTATGTATATAAAAAACTTATTATACCAGTTTTATATTTAGCTATAGTTGTTTTTATACATCTCATCGCCTGTCGATCACTTTTGGGCGAAATGATTACACTTCTCCCAAGGAATAGTACTGCTCGCAGCAAAAGTTAAGCAGATTAGAGCAGCCGATCAATTTGTTCTTGGAAACGCTCGAAAAAATATAATTGTTTTTTTCCAAATTTGTCTTGTCAACAAATCCAGACAAATTCATTTTCTCCCAAGAGATATTCTGCAAGGGGAGGAGAAATATCCTCTACATCTGACATGCACAAAGGTCTTCCCAAGCATTTCTTAAACATCCCACCAACATTTTTATTTCTCATGAATAGAAGCGTTGCAATTTATTGAAACAAACTCTGTGCTCTCTCCACAAATGGTTTTTTTTTTTGGACGATGTAACGGAAAGAGCAGCCAGTGGTTTTATGTGGAAACAATAACACAATAAGTGACGGAGTGAATGCGTGCGTAGGTGAACGAACTAATTAATTAGTTAAATAATGAATGAATTATTGAAAGAATGAAGTCAACATAATGCAAAAGTTAATTAGAGATCTACAACTAAGGCCATGCAGTAGAGGTCTCCATGATTAACTCGGCGTGTTAGTTCTTCAGAGACGTTAAAGTGGGGGCATCTCTTACATTAAGGCTTGAATTTTCATCCATGCTTCATTTACTTTAAGTGTTGAGTGATCGTACGCATATTTTGCGCAAGGGTTTCATCACATAATAGAATCGGAATAAATTCGTTTTTAACTTTTTGGCTGTGCTTTTAATATAGTTGGGGACGCTGTTTCCGTTTTCAACATGGTTGCGGAGGCGTTTTTGTAGGACTGCGTCTCGGATTTTACTCATTAACATGCAGAGAGTTTGGGAGTTGGTATTTAAATGTATGACTTCGACAAAATCGTAACGATACTATTGCAAAAAAAAATTTATTCGATGTGGTTTTTTACTTTTTCTATATTAAAAACTAAATTCAACGTTTTCGTGCCATTATTATAAATGGAAAAAATTTGAAAACAATTTTTCAATTAATTTTTCTAATTTTTATTTTAGTTTCGCAGTTTACCACACGCGTTGGAATGGCTCAGATGTCTTGTATACACTTCGAAAAGAAAAGTATTTAGTGATTTTGATATTATTATTATTATTTTTTTTTTTTTGAGTTTGAGAAAAGTAAATGCTCTTCGCTAGGAACTGATTGCATTTAAGGTTCGATTAAATGAAGACGAACCATTTGAACTAGAATCCAATATTTTTTGACGACAATTAAAAGCTAAATTTGCTAACGCTTCGGCCGCGTCCAATTCATCTTTGTGATGTGCAGTATTATAGAGATCTAAAGCATTATCTGCTTGATGTTCTTGTTGTTGTTGTTGTTGTTGTTGTACTAACGGTTTAGAATTCAATCTTAAATTCTTTGCAAGTTTATGTCTGCAAAATCAAAATATAAATGAACGTTGTTCTCATTCAAGTTATTCCACAGCGGATTACCTCTTGTTATTCCACTCTATGAAATAGTTATTCTTATTTGGCGTGAAATTGGCAGCACTTTCTAACCATTTTGAAAGCTCCGCTTCCGATTGAAGGGTTTTTAAGTTGCCATTATTAGTGCTCAAGTTTTTGCTAACCATTGCGGTTTGTTTGATAAGTTGTTGGGTTTCACCTTTCGTGTCTCTTAAGTATTTTTCCATTATTTTCTGTTTGTACTTTGTGTTTTTGCATTCCTTCTCTTGCCACAACAGTGATGAATTGTTTTCCAATATTCCACCCACGAATAGTGGATGATTGTTTGGTAATTGTAAGTTTGCCTGATAGTAATTGAATTTGGATTCGGCTTTTTCACCCGGAAACTCTTGCGTATTTAGTTTCGCATATTTTGCCTTTTTTCTTGCGTATTGTACGACAAAATCATTGTCGTCATCCTCACTTCGGCTTAAACGATATTGTTCTTCCTCTCTCCATATGCTATCTTCCGACGATATACTAAATTGTTCGACGTTACCTTTGGCATTGCTGTTGTAGTTTTTAATTAAATGGCCCCAAGATTTTTTAGATTTTTCCCTTTCGGAATTTTTTAACTTCCGTCTCCAATTCGCGAACCAATTACAAATTTGTGTATAGGTCAGACCCGTTTCAATAGCTAAACGTTTCTTCTCTTCGCGGCTAGGATAGGGATTTTCGCGTCTTCGTACCAGCCATTCTTTAAGCATACGCTTGATTTCCGGTGTAAATAAACGTTTCGGCGGCCGGGGATAACTCAAACCTTCACCAGGTGGCCAGGTACGTCTATAAGAAGAAATTTCTTGGCATTAATATTGGATTATATTAAAAAGAAAAAACAAGGAACTTAATCAGGCTTAAAAATAGTTAAGAACAACATAGAAGAAAAGCAAATGATGGTAAGAATTTCATTCAGAATTTATTTCGATTCATTATCCAATTTTTATACCTTCAGCACAAGGACTCTTTTATATGTGAGGGAATACTGTGTCCAAAAAGTAAGACTAATCTAAATTTTTCTTTTTCATATCTATTCATTACGCCAAATCTATTTCGTCATCTTCAAAGTAACACTCAAACTCAAATAGTACTCGTTGTGAACAGTTTGGCCTGGCGTTAGGCATTCATCGTGCACAGCACCGCTATAACCGAAGACATCTATTAACATTATCTTGATGTTTAAGCGACTTGCGAATCGATTGATCAGTCGTTTCCGGGTCTCATCTCATATTATTCCGTAGGCTTCTTCACTACATCAAACAATGTAAAAATCGTAAAATGTAGCTTTTGTGTCGTGTAAAATAAAGCGCAACTGGAAACAAATATAACTATGGGATCGTGGCACAGGTTGAGATTTACTTTTTCTAAACGTCAACTCTCTATCCGTTTTAGATTTTAAATTGTTATCCTTTATAAACAATAATAAAAGAAAGTTCAATCCTTTGCTCATGTGTTTCTGACTTTAAAATGAATATAAATTTATTGGCTTTATTTAATTGCTTCAGTAAGTTAGCTTCTGAATCTTTTACAATTAAATCGTCAATATATCATTTTCTAGTGAATTTGGTGTATATTCATGCTTTAAGTTTTTAGGTTTAGATTGCAGGGCAAGTTATCTCAAGTTTTAGAGGGACGTCTGCTGTAGTGCAGATCGTCGTCGTAAAAGATAAAACGTCGTTTGGACAGGCCGTACCGATAGAAACGAGTAACAATAACAAAAAAAAAACACAGGATGTGGCCAGTGCATAGCACCGTAGTGCTTCCGAATATTCCGTAAGAGAGTTGGAATTATAGGGCCGAGTGTTGTCAAGCTGTGAACAAGTGAAACACTGTAGTGGACCACGGCCTACTTTTAAATATCCTGCACCGCTTCGATTAATGCAGTTGTTCATGTAACTACTTTTCAAAATAAAACGTTATATGAGAAGTGATCGGAAGGATGCTTCGATCTGAACAATTTTCAATATCGTTCGTTCTTGCCTCAAAATACGTTAGTGTACCAAATTTTATCAATAACTTATGTTTATGTAAGTTGAACACACAAGGATATGGACAGACAGACCGACAAGCTTAAATCGATTTAGAAAGTGGTGCTGAATCGATCTAAATAATAGAAGGTGGGGTCTATGTCAAGACCTTCTGGGTGCGGAAACTTGATATATCCTATATAATAAGTGTGGTAGGGTATAAAGATTATATTTATCTACTCCCACTCTCCATCCCTTTCTATCTGCAATCGGGTTCTGAAGTATAAGCTACGACTGGCTGGTCATAGACAAAAAAGACATTTCTGTGCCCATTTTCCCTTCTTTCTTGGAAGTAATTGCATCAGTTGTTACGGATAACCTCTTCCAGCAATGGTGTAATTGCGTACAAGAACCTTAGTTTTGTCGAATACGGGACGAATCGTTCGTACGTCACTTTGGCGTAGATATTAAGAGTTTCGTTATAATAGTTCATTCATTTTCCATCAGTGGAAAAGTGTTCTTGGAGTTAAACAGGGAAAGCGACGCAATTGCGTTTATTTTCACCCTTCTTTCAAAACACCAAATCTTAATCCGGCGTACCAAAATATGATGGAGCATAAAGCCATCATTCGATGATTCCATACCCTCCCAATAGCATACACCTCTCTTTAGATTTCCTCGACATATGAAAACGTATAAAATAAAAGAAGAAAATAGTGTGACATCTGCGTTCCCTTAAATCTTCAATTTGGGGGCCAAACACCCCTAACGTAAACAACCTGGATAGTCAGCAAGTCTTACTAACGAAGTGAACTGGCACTGAAATCTCATTTCAGCTGCTTTTGCTTTTTTCGAGGTATAGCGAATATTTTTGGTGTTGAATAGTAAAATTTTTATGCATCAATTCTCGCAATGCATATGGCAAATACTGTTCCTTATCACATAAACGGACAGTCAAATACAGAGTCGAAACACAATATCACAATGATTATTATAAACGTAAAGAATGTATGGCTTTCTAAAGCGTTAAAAAATGAAAATAAGAAGCTTTTGTTATAGTCTAGTAGTTGAAACAGAACATGCTCAAACGTGTTAGAATTGATAACACAAATAGAAAATAAATTTTACATTTTAGCTATAAGAGAACAAACCTATGGCGGCGATTACGTTGAGGACGATGTACTTTATCCATAATTATCTTAAAATATTAAAATATTTGATGAGATAATAATTTAAATATTTTTTAAAACGAGGCGTGTACATATATAAAATTAAACCAATTTAAAAATTTAAAATTCATTTATTTTTATATATCGCATCTGTACATAATTGCTCGGCGAAATTGTGATAGATGCTTGCAGCCGGCTGTCCGATCATGCAAAGTGCCAAACAAGGTCGTGCATGAAATGAAGGTGAAATTTTTAAAAAATCGGCATTGAGATTCGTTGACGAGACCCTACTCGATTTTTTCACGCGTCTTGCCCGTTTTCTTTGCAAAAAAGACATAAAACATACATGCTCTCGGAATTGACCTGTTGTAGAAGATATTGTTTCCTTTAAGCGCGGCTTTATCAAATGGGCAGCTCTTGACGCTATAAAGGTTGGATATAATCTCCACGTTAGCTGTTAAACAGCTTGACCAGCATTTTCCTCATTTCAATATACACAACATTCGTTAGGAATTGACGGATGCAATGTCTTATATAAACATTACATATAGTTATGTTTAAGTAAATATGTACTGTTTATAGATTTTAGTTCAAAGTTGCTTGGATTCTATATAATATGAATTAAAAAAAGTTATAATTGCCTTGTGACAGATTTTCAGCTCCCACCTCAAATGATTTTTAATTATATTCACATAGAGACTTTAGCCGGAATTAATCAACTAAATGCCATCTGTCGTTAACGCTACAATTTCGATTATACATATATGATAAGTGACTTTTCGTTTTTATAACTATTGAGACGGACGGACGAACGTGCGAGATTAAATTGATTTAGAATTTCAATGCCGATCACCTCTCTCTCTTGTCTATTTCTACATGTTACAAATAAAATGACAAAACTAATAAATATCGACCCCGGTAGTGTTTGTAAAATTAATAACACGTTCGATATTATGTTTACGAACAAATTTTATTTAAACGGTTTTTTTTTTTTTATATATTCGGATTCTCATGTAGGTGGTTTTATTTCTAATCCAATAATACAATAAGTTTCCCAATATACATTTATATATATATCTATATATCTGCATATACATATGACTGACTGTGTTCACAGATATTTATATGCACACATGTATATAAATGCATATATATTAATAAATATATATGTGCATGCACATATATATATATATATATATATATATATATATATATATATAGTGGCACATATATATATATATATAACGTGCCAGTTTTCTTTAATGTTTAAATTGTTTTTAAGCAGCGTTAGCATGAAGCAGCAAAAAACATGAAATCTTTCTATTCATGAGAGCAAAAATATATCGGGCAGAAAGAAAGAAAGTAGAGAGACTGCCTTTCCCCCATTCATTTCCCAAAAATATTCAGTGGCTAACAATATAAACGTATAATAAAATTATATTCAGCCGTGGCCTCATCACTTACACTCACTACATTTTTTCTTAAAGGAAATAAAATCCAAAATAACAAAAAAAAAAATTAAATAACAGCTTTCAAAAACAAAAGTATTCTCAATTCTTATTGTCGAATTGATCCATTTTCAATGCCACTCTCCACTCTAGAGCTTCCAATATTTTATCAAATTCCAATATTTTATCAATTTATATTCATTTCTTCAAGAATGTTTGCCGCATGTATTACGCAGGCGGACAGATAGACATCTTTAAATTAATTCAAAATTCAGAAGATACTGATCAGGAATTTGCTTGACATTAGAGATCCTCTGAAACTTACTTCTGGATGTTGTTAATGTTTTTCTAGGATGAACGTAGTCGTCATCCTTCGACGCTGGGCCTAAGAAAGATATTTGCGGTTAAGAGGAAAAATTTTATGTGCGGTTTTTTGTCTTCCAGTTAAAAATCCTGCATAAATATTTTATTATCTTCTATTTATTTGAATATATCCGTCTGTCTACCCTCTTCTATTGTCTACAATTTGCGCGCAGACCTCACTATCACTCTCGATTATTTCGTGAATTTGATAAGGAGCTTGCACAAGTTAATTATAGTTAATCCGAATTTGAAGAAGCCCCAACAAATGTGAATGTGCATGTGCATTCCAATGAACCAAAGTGAAAGTACAGGCGTTACGTTCCGAACTGGCATCGAATCATTCAAACCACGATTTGCAAATGTAAACGATGTCCTTGCAGTGGTCTTGGTCTACTAAATTTAATTTTGAGAACAGTACAACGATTTCTGAAAAAGTTTCCGTGAAGAAAGTGGTGTGAGAAGATGCATTGTCATGAGAAGCACTTGCCTCCCCTTTTTGTCATAATAAAAATCAAACATTACCTTTGCTTAGATTTAAATAAACAAGAATGAATCCCACTACCCCGGACTGTATCGGCATGAAAGTGGACGCAAATGTCAATAAGGCAGCGACCACAAATAAAAAGCTAGTTCTAAATAATTACACCCTCCCTCCAAAAGTATTTAAAATTACTGCACACTTCTTCAGCTTTCGGATTCAAGTTCTGTCTTTCCAAAGCAATATATCCCGTTGAAATGCATGCCGATACGTCGCTGTTGTTATCAAATAGATCGAAGGGCACGTTTAAGGGTATAGAGCAGATATTGCAGGTTATATAGAATACTTTCAAATCGACTCAAACCGAATGTAGTGCCTCTCTCTCTCTCTCTCTCTCTCTCTCCCCCTCTCTCTCTCTCTCTAAGTTTTCTTCCGACTCTCACTCTTCAAAATATCGTTATTGTTTTCTCGCTAAACTAAAAAGAGCTCTCTTTGGTTAAACGTTCTTTCATGTTTTCTTTTATGTTTTCAATTGCGAAAAGAAAACATGAATTTTTTTCAAAACAATATTTATTTTGTAATGTTGTAGTTGTTTATGAGAGAAAAACCACTTGATTTTATTTTTAAGTCGTTTTCTTGTTTTCTCGTTTCTTTTACGTTGACACTATTTAATTGTAAGATCAATAAAATTGTTTATGGCCTTCTACTTAAAGAATGCATCACAACTTGTTTCCTAAAATGATTTAAATTTGTTATGATGGAATTTTCTTTAAAGACGAATGATGTCGTTAAATATAATTTGGCAGATAGCAAAAAGCGAAGCAAAGTAAAGGAAAAATGTAGGAAAAGAATCGCTTTACTTATAACCAGATTCCGCTCGAGATTATAAATACTCGAAACCGTTATATTGTTAATCATTTTTAGAACGATTTAAATAGAAATAATTAGTTGACATTGATTAGAAACGTTTTTGTTTTTTATTTATGCATTTTTTTTTTTTTTTTTGTTTTTTTCTTATTCATTCATGTTTTCTTCTCTGTCTTTGCTTTCCTGTTGTTATATAATCGAAAAAATTTTATTTTCTAGCAAAAATAGATTGATTATAGAAAATCGTAAAAATCTTTATTCAAAACTTTTACCAAAAGAAAAAAAAAAAATAAAAAAAAAAATTACTGATCTTACTCACGTAAGATTAATTTTCGAGTTTAATTTTCTAGCATTAATTTTTCTGTTTTTCAATTCTTATTAACTTCTCACAACCCTTGTCGTGTCTTGTTTACCAGATATCCGATGTGAAAATATTTAAAAACTATAATATATAGATTTTGTTTATGAAAATGTTTTATTCGAATTTTTTATAAATTTTAAACTTTTTCCTTTTTAAATATTATTTTCTTTGCGTTTTCGTTTATTATTATCATAAAAACAACCGTTTCGTTTAAATAATGCGATCAGACTACTTGCCACCAATTTCATTAAAATATTTTTATCTTAAGGAAAATAAACACACAAACCGAAGAAGACAATGCTCGTATATAAATATATGTAAAATCATACAGTGTACGCCCGCGATATTCACAAGATATTACTCTTTCTCTCTCTCTCTCTCTCTCTCTTTCGGCTTAACATTGGTTTTAATCAATTATTTGTGGTCTGCCTGAATGATGCCTCCATTCTTAGGATGATCAGTAAGCATTTTCATATGGAATTCGCATATTTCTTATATGTGTAACAGGTTGACGGTTGGAAAGAAATGAGAAAAGAGATATATCTATCTCTTTAAAGTAAACTTCTTAGCTTTGCAATGTATCCCAGAAAAATTCATCACAGAAATTATTACACGTCAATACCAGAATACCTTTCTTAGTTTCTTTTAAAAGAAGGCGTGTTTTGGGAAATGGTCCGATTCATGTACGGTGTAAAAAGGGCCAATTGTTTTTAAGTTTTCCGTATTTTCTATAAAATTTATAACAACAATAAAAGGCGCAGTGAAATAAAACGCCTAACCATTGTTTAGAGATTCAATAAACCTTTTTAGAGAAAACTATGATCGCTCTTCGATGATAAAATTTTTTTCACTTGTAACTTAGTCCATAGACAATTGTTTTTCACAAATAAGTTCGTTAATGAAAGAAGATTTCAACGGAGAAATTTTTAATTTTGGCAAAAAGGCTTCAATGTGAAGTGGTCCATAATTTTTAAAAGGTTTGCGTCTTTTTGCTTTAACTTTTCTAAAGCCTTTTCGAAATTTTTGGTCAAATCTTATTAAGTGTAGCTCATTTTTTCTATTAAGTATTAATTTTAAAATCCTAAACCGTGAGTTTATAAACTTTCGTTCTTCGAATTTGTGGAATTTATGTCTAATTGAATAGTATTTGAAAAGCTGTTAAAATTTGCAAAATTTCTTCCTAATATTCTTTAAAAGCATATTATCATGTCGGAAGTACTAAATCTTAATTAGGCCGTTTTAACATCGTATGGGTTAATAGAAACTTTTCCAGATGTTATACATCAGTTATGTATGAATTTTACATATTTTTAACCTTTAAAAAAGTTTTTTCAAATTAAATTTTGAAATATCCTTAGACTTCATTCCCAATAAAAAGCACACCAGTGTCCGTACAAGTACGTAGACATGAGATAACATTTTAAAACTTGACTATAAAAGAAAATTTCTTTTCCATATCCATGCTGTGATTTTGTCATGCTTAAGCCTCCAGGTAAATAATTGTTTTTGAGCGCTAATCAAGGCAAGGAAAATAAACAAATTTATCTTGTACCGACTGATACAGCACCTGTAGCGACTAATAGTGACTGGCCGACCAAAGTTTCCATTCTTCGCAATATCTCTGCAATAAAGTTGTTCTACTATTTATTTGTTTAAAGAAGATTTAGGGCAAACTTACAATTATGCCTTTCAAAGCCATGCTAATGTCGTATGATTTGCATTTTAGGGGACTGATATCGTTATATATATTGAAATAAATATCTTTGAACTTTCCTGGTATCATAACCAAAAAAAAAAAAAAAACAAAACAGAAAATGTTTTTAAATCTATTACGATAAAAACAAAGATGTTTTTTTATTACTAATATATACTGAGGACATCCTTTGCTCTACTTTATTATTTTCCCTAATTATTGATAAATCTAAAGAAAAACTACAACACAATGTTGAAGTGGATATCGTGAAGCAGTGGTATTCAATATTTTTATATACATTGCAGTTTTTTATACCATTTGTTTTAGTTTTTTTTATTTTTCAGTTTCGTTCTCTCCATTGGCTTTAAATCTTTCCGTTCCTTGCTTTTTGCTTTTTTTTTGCTTTTTTTAATATATAATACAATTCCTTAAAATTTGCAATTTCACAAAGTTAAATAAATAAATGTATTTTTTTTTTTTTCAACTCTCTTTTGCAATTTCACAACAGCTCTGAGCAAAATCACTATTTTCATTATTATCGCTCTCTCAAGTTACCAAATTCGAAGTTCAAACTCTCTCAAGTTACCAATAATCTAATGTTGAAAATGTAGAAAATGCAATGAGGGAACTACCGGCACATACAGTATTGTTAAAATCTAAAAACTAACTAAAAAGTAGTTTTTTGCTTTTTCTCAAACTGTATTTTTAAGAAAAAAGGAACCTTATTTATACCAGGCGTGCAGCAAGCGAACACGTACGAATACATTTATTTAACACTTTTTTCATTTCGTTCACACAAACGATTGTTTTTATTCCAATGTATTTTAAAATACAGAGTAATGTGTAGGCACGTATACGCATGCAGACTCGTAGTTAGACACTCATACATAAGAAAATCACTTCCGACGACGTCTGTATAAATAAAGAGAATGAAATTAACACAGAAAAATCTTTGAGTTTCGAGTAGATTTGAATTCGTTTGTTTGAAAGAATGAACACAAGCAGTGGTAGCGGTAGGCCGCCACAGAGCGCAAATTACAGGCGAGCAAGAGCAAAACGTTACTGACCATTTTAAAAACGTATATATAAATAGAAAACCATACAACTCAAGCGAGTTCTACCGCACTATTGAGTTTGAATTTATTAGGTGTCCAGCAATTACAACAACAAACGAATCAGAAAAACATCGCATAAGCGAATTACAAATGAAATTATTTCAGTCTTTCTTTCCCCCAAACAGCTGTTATTTAGTTAAATGTGTAAACCAATGACGAGTAAAAGACAACAAAAAAGAAAAGAGTATAACAAGACTCTGAACTCTGCCTGAGCGAGCGTAAATGCCTGAGGGTTACTTATATATATATATATATATATGTAGTTGTTCACAGTCAATTTCATTCATTACAACTATAAATAATTGACGTAATAGTTGCAAATTGTTTATAATTTGCTTTACCACGAGCCAGGAAAACAGTTAAACAGTTAAAGAAAATCTAACATCAAGTTATTTGTAATGACTGAGCGACTGAGCTATTTGTAAGAATAATGTTAGAAACTTGTTCAACACTTCAAAACAATCAAGAAAGAATGCATAACATAACGACGGTAGAAATTTTGCGAATAATTGTTAGAGATTTTAAAAATTAACTGTGACTGTGATGCGATGAAAAAAGAACACATTCAAGTATGAAATACAAACCTAGACAAGACTACAAAATGCGGTAAAGTTACATTCGTTTTGAAGTCAATAATGAATGCTTTACAATTCCAACGCAAATGTATGGCATTTTTGTGAACTGTGAGCATATTGGTCGTTTGATGGACGCTATTTTTGTTTTTTTTTTTTTGTTTCCCCAGGCTTTACTCATTAATGTAAAGTTTAACTTCTCGAGTCCTTGGTCATACAATTGCAACTCACCAATGGATCCTGAAGAAGTCTTCTCCCCCAATCTGCTGTTGTGGACAAACTCTTACTATAAAGCACATTCTCTGCGACTGCCTCAACTTTTCCTTGGCTAGAATGCAATACATTTGGAACGATTAACCCTTTGTACATTCTACAATCAACTTCAGAACAGAATATCAATTCAATATTTTACTTTATTAATACTACTAACCTTATTATCTAATATCCATTTATTTAAATTAGAGCCGATAGCCTGTGTTGCTAGTGCTCAATGTCTCTTTTTTTTTAGTCTAAGAATTCAATTCATTAGTCTAAAATTAAAATAATAGTAATAATAATAATAATAATAACTTCTTGAGTGGTTAGTTATTTACTTTGCATTTTAAATCACTACAAGCGGTTCAAGTTGCTTATGTTTTTGTTCATTTTCAATGAATATGGTGAGGACTTTTTTCTCATTTGCCCGCACTGGAGTTTCACGTGTGACCATTTCGTCATAGTCGCTTTATACTTATATACGTAAAAATAATTCCGGTGAAGAGAGTTTCAATTTGTTTATTCTGTTTGAAGGGTATCTTCATGTCAACCACGTTTCGATCTCAACTATTTAGCAAAGCTCTGTTAGGGCGTTTGCAGAGCTCTGTTAAGGTAGTTAACTTTCACATAATTCCAAATTTCCATACTCTCACATAATTCAAAATTCCATAACATTACATAATTCAAAATTTCATACTCTCCATAATTCTATGTTTGTTTTAGACTTCGCGATTGGCCTAATCCTAAGTATATTGTGTCTGGCGTGGCGATAATACTTAATTAATTAATTATTCTTTATTTAATCTAATTATTAAATGTTTATTTAATCGCATGTCGCATAATTGTCCGTAGTACTCTGCCGAAGGTTATAAAAATTTCCTTAGCGTGTATTTCCACACCATAAAAGCTATCGTTAGGAGATCTGCGCGAGTGCAAAAGCAGGTAGCTTTATGTAAAACAAGATTTTGTAGCTACCTGTGTGTACGTCTCTGGTTTCTGCACCTTTTAAACGGATTGAAGAAGAACTCAACTTTGATACCCAATAATATCGGGTAGGCTTGGTCAAGTTTTTCCATTTTTGTACAGGTGCTAGAGCATTGCCCATAGTATATGCGGTCAAATTCTTGTACACTTATTTGCTACAGTTTGTGAGCAATGAGCATTTTTTATTGCTTTTGAAAAGCGGAGGTGTTCTGAATTTACGTAGCACTGTAGGCCTGTCCTTCGACCGGTTTAGCCAATTAAGAGACATTTTTAGTAAATTTCAGTTGCGGTCAGGACGAATTTCTTCGTTGGCATCCATAGTGTAAGGTTTTTACTTAAAGTTTTTTGCAAATTCATTCTCATTTTTACTTCATGATTTTTGTCTTTGTTTCCTTTTTATACTTTTCATTTCGAACTGAAGAGTCCTTTAAAAAAAAAAGTTCGCGCACCTTAAAAAAAGTGAAAATTGCGTATTTTTTTGTTGTTCTTGTTTTTTATATGTTAAAAAAAGTTCATTGACATTTTTTTTCTTTTTTTGTTGTGCGTTTTGTTTTTAAATTGGAACAAGACAACAAGCGAATGCATAAACGCAGTTAAAAAAAACTGTTGTCATTTTTAAATGCGACCGACGACAGCCAGCGAAGGCAAAACAAGTTGTGAGCTCACGAAAAGTGAAACAAGCCTCTGACGGTAATAATAGGCTGACAGAATTTTTAACATAGCGTAGTCATCTATCTGAACTGGGTAGAGCTAAAATTATGAGCGCAATGAATGCAATACATATGTGTGTTAGTATGCGTATGTATTTATCACAATGAATTCGGTGCATACACTCCGTGTACAAGTATACAGATAGATATTTAGCATGCGTCGTCGCACGCGAGACATCGTAACAAGCAAGTAGCTGTCAGTGAAAAATGAATGAATACTATACACACAGAGTTGGTGTCTTTTGAATGTGCAACGAACGCTCTTAAATCGGTGGTTGAAACTGTTCACTTCCCGCTGATGATAACGATTCTACGCAATGAAACATGCATGAAGCATGTTCCTAAACTGTGTTATACGTATACCACATGTACAAGTGTATGCATTCATGTGTATGCGTAAATGGAAAATATATATATATATATGTATATGTTTGTATACGTATATAAATTGCACATAGATATACGCAGTTCATGCTATGTCATTGACTTGAAAAATAATATCGTTTTCAGCTCAGCGTAGCCAGCAAACATTGAGTCACATAAGTAGTTATATATCTTTGTACATACGTATCACTGAAGGCCCTAATTTTTCAAGGTTTCATTCCAGTTTTTTTAAACTAACGAAATGAGCGCAAATGACATTGAAAATTTTAGATCAAAAAAATACGTTGTCATTGAACCAGGTCATCCAGGCATCGTCGTTGTATCAAATGTGTTATATAGCCAAAGTGATTGCTTAGCAACGCGCTTATTTGTTACGGTAACGGCAACGGTAACGTTGGAACGCATTGCCTTGATTGATAATGGAATTATATGGAAACATCTGTGTTGTATGTAACGAAACGTTTAGCCGCATCACGTGCGTATTCGTATCAGAATTATCGAACGACGTTAACTGCACAGCGTTACCGATATTCTTAATAGGATATCAGGAAATTTAGCCCGCATTTGTTAATCGTTCATAACTTTTCATTTAGAGACAAGCATATGTATCTACACACATATATGTTCAATTTCAATAAGCAGAAAGTGTGAATGTGCATATTATTTTCAGTTCAAAAAGTGTTGCCATTTTTTTCCAACTTGATATAGTTTGCTAATTTCACCTCATCTCAAAGGAAATGTTTATTAAAGATCATAAGTTCTAGTAAGTAATCCTTTGAGTTAAGAGGATTGTATTACCAAACTAGGTAGCATTTACAAGCAATTACTTTTTTGATTGTAAATACATTGGAGAAAGAACGATATAGTGAATGGATTTGTTATTGCTTTTGCCTATATCACATATATGATATATATATATATATATGTTACATACAATGTTACATAAATCTCCTTAAAACTCATATGTAATTAAATCTCTTAAAATGAAAAATTTAATTTATTTTTCCGGTTCACTTTTATCCTTTAAAGGTCTTCGGCGATTACGTTTTATATAAGGACGCTTGCAGTTATATTGCAATTCCTAATTCGGGCTGTAATGATTAGCATGCGATAATTAGGATGTAATAATATCTTATCACATGTAAAAAACATTCTGCACTATCTTGTACTAAATACAGAACACCGTTCCAGAATTGACAAAAGCTACTCATTTATAAATATTGCACATACACATTATTTGGTTTAATACATTTTTTCGTATGGAAAGCGATCGAAAATGTAGCCCGATCCGAAACGTTTTCAATAGCGTTCGTTCTTGGGTCAAAGCATGTGTATGAGTTGAATGCAAGTGTGCACGGAGAGGTATTAAACTGAAAAACGGACAGACAGACAGACAGACAAGCTTAAAATCACTTTCTGAATCGATCGATGGAATAAAAAATAACTCTGTCTCAATTCCTTCTGAGTCTTGTACACACCCACACAAACGTAAGCGATCCTTGCGCGACAGGCGGTGCAGGGTGTAATAATCTCTTATATCGTTATTTTACACTGGGACAAGCTTTAAGAGTAGTTCAAGG